AAAAACGAAAGAAAGAAAGAAATAATAATGATAAACAGTTGTTTTGTCAAAATGAATTTTTAAAAATATTTTTTAAATAATTTTTAAAAATAATTTTTTGCATGACCACACACACACGGAATTTTGAAGAGAATTTATTATTAAATTTAAAAATAAATTATTTAAAGCGGAAGTTTATTTTTAAAAAAGTGTGTTTTTTTTATTTTTTAAATTTGTGTGTAATTGCAGAAAAATTGGGTTTTTAAATTTTTGGAATACCGTATTTACTCTATTATAGCCCCCCTCTCAATTAGAGCCCCCCTCCTTAATAAAGCCCCCGTTTCGAGGATGGTTGAAAAATAGAGCCCCCCGTCTTTATTAGAGCCCCCCTCTTTAACAGAGCCCCCCTTTTTGTCAAATGTCAAATAAATAATTTAAGCAAAAATGTTGTTGCCGTTCCCCAGTCCCTCGTTATAGTCAGAGTCGCGCATGTTTCAATCATGTGTGAATAACAGTTTATAATAAATAGTTAAATCGTACGCAATTTTGTAATACTATAGGGAGAGCTCTTCCATATAAGACTCGATGTATTGGCCAACTGACAACTCTTTTGATGAATGAAAAAGTGATTTCCCTTTGCATATTAATTTAGGACGTACTTGTAAGCACCAGGAACGAGAAAAATTACCGATTTCGTGAAACGAAATCGGGACGGCTGCTCTTTCCCTGATATTCACCAACTACTTTCCAATCGCTGTCTAAGGATAAGTTAGTCGAGATGTTAAGCTTACTTCGTACTCTACATTCCTCAACAATGGAATTCCAAAAATAATTGAACTAATTGAATGTTATCCTTTATCCAAAAAGTACATAAAACCCTAGCTTTATAACTTTTGGAGAAAAGAAAAACTGTTGCATGCATTATCATGCAATACCTATCTTGTTTTTGTGCTAAAATTACAATTAATTTTAAAAGTTAGAAGGTCTATAAATTGAATGAAAAACCTGTTCCTATTTTAAAAATAGGTTGAAAAATACAGCCCCCCGTCTCTATTAGAGCCCCCCTCCTTAATATAGCCCCCGTTTGGAGGAAGGTTGAAAAATAGAGCCCCATGGGGCTCTAATAGAGTAAATACGGTATTTAAATTCAAAATTGTAATTTTAAATTTTTTGTTTGTTAAGGCTACGTTCACATAAAATCAGGTGGATAGTAAAGGGGTAAAAGGTAAATTAAATATCGCCGGGTCAGAATAATTTTCTTGATTTTCGTCCGATTCGAATCAGAGGTGGGTCGAAACAGTCAGAGGTTTCGGAAATCGGAAGAGCCGGCAATCGGAACTGGCTCAAAAGTCGGAACTCAGAAATTGAAAATCAAAATTTTTTCGGAAATCGAAAGAAAAAAACGTCGGAAATCGGAATTCCGACCCACATCTAATTCGAATAATATATATCTTTTGGAAGGCATAATTGGGCTGATCTGATCTGAATATTCTACAAAAAGTACAGACAGAAAAGATAATAAAACAATCATGCATGATTTACCCCTCCTTATTTTGAATGAATGTTATTTTCTGTCGGAAGCCGCGAAGCAACTTTTATTTAAACACATCATCAGATATACTTTTGTACTTTCCGGAATATACATACCTATATATTTATTTACCTATATATTTTCCGGAAATGTATTTTCTTTAAAAATTTATTTTTCAAAACAAAAAAATTCTCTTTTTTAAATAAAATAAAAAAAAGAGAGATTTACAAGGATTTATTTAAATTTAGTGTAAATTTGCGGAATAGAAGAAAAAAAAAGAAAAATAGGCAATTAACCGGAGAAGAATATAATGCAAACATTTAAAGGGAAGGGGGAAGGAGTTAGTTGTTTGTGTGTGGATGTGACGGTAAATAATAAAAATAGAAAAAAATAAAGCTTTAAGTCGACAATTGAATTTTTAGGATTTGAAGCGGAAATAGAAGAAAAAAAGAAAAAAAAACTTTTTTGTAAGTGTATTTTACGAAAATAACAAAAAAAAATTAAATAAATTTAAAGTAGGGATTTAAAAAAAAATAAATGAAAAGACATGCGTGGCCCTTTCTGAAAACGAGGGTCTCGATGTTCTTTTCATCATTTTTTCTTTCTTTAAAATCGTAGGTCAAATTTTCTCAAGGTTCAATTTCACTAAGTTTGCCTGAGGTATAGTCAAATGAAAGTTTATATGTAAAAGACAAGATTAATAAAAATCAAGAAGTTCTTTTTTGTATCGTTGCTCATGAAAAACGGATCCTTAAATTCGGAGTTTGAACAATTATCACGGTAGAAAAGATACAAATCAATTACTTTTAATCTTCTCTTTATCAATGTCGTTTGTTTGAACAGAGGAATATAGTGAAGATAAAGCAAGGAGTGGATTTGACCATTATATATAATTTAGGGAAGAAAGGGGGAGGGGAGGGCAAAGTTCGGAATTATCAGAATCTCTCATACTAACAAAAGAATTTATATTAAATAAATATTCAAGATATTTACCGAAATTTAAATTTTATACTGAAATTAAAATATATCAATTTAAATTAAATATTTTAAAAATTCCAGTTAAAATCCCATAATTTATTTATTTAATTCTTCCCATAAAATTATTTTTTGAATTTAAATATTTTTAGCCATTTATAGGCGAACTTTCAGTTATATCTTCAGCCTTTTCCTCTTCCACACCTCCAACACATTTCCAGCCACTTCCCGCAGTACAAGTACCCGAACAGCATTTAGTAGCCTTCCTTTTTGGATCACATAGTTTTTGATAACCAGGTTTATCTGCAATACATGCCTGGATTTCCTCAAAATATAAAAAAGTTGAGAGAAAAATAACAAAAATTGTTATTAAAAATATTTTGTTGGAATTGAAGAAGGAGAACATTTTTTTATTTGAATCTAAAAAATATTAAATTTTTTAGTAAAAAAATGGTTTTAATTTTATAAAATTAATTTTAGATTATAAAATTATTTAAATTTTTAATAATTTTTTAAAATTAAAAAATTAAATAATGAATTTTAAACTAAAATAGAAATCAATTTATACAAAATTTTTAATTTAAGAATTAAATATTTGGCAAACAAATTTGGATGGCCTGACAGATCCTATTTAATATGCCCTATAAGGGGTCGAAAATATTTTTATAGACATTTAATTTTTTATAGACAATTTAAATAGGTTAGGGGTTTCGAATCGGGCCGACGTTCGAGTCATTCTTTTCGGGCCGGCCCAAACGAGTCTTTTTCGGGCCAAAATTCGAGGCCCGACTCGATCTTTCGGACCGGGCCGGATAGGGCCCCCAACCCTAATTTTTTAGAAAAGTGAGGAAGAAGTGCTTTTTCGATATTTTTGAGTTTTACTAGTAGGTAATTAATAGGGCTGGTGACTGGTAAAAAAACTTTTATTGGGTTTATTTCGAACCTGGACAATACTGAATATTTAGATATTTGTGGTCCCAATTCCGCTTCTATTTAAAAACATTTTTTGATAAAAGTGTCAAAAAATGTCAAAGAATAGCAAAATACGGTCTACATGTTTCAACGTTGTCCGAGGGGGAATGGCACGGGGACGGGGGATTCGAAATGCTGGAAGGGTTGGGGAACACCGAGGGACTCCCTTTCCCTATTTAAAAAACATTTTCCAATAGAAAAAATTTTTTTCTAATCTAAGCACTACTTTAAAATTTTTAAATTAAATGACAGACACCTTTCTAATTTTAAATTATTAATAATTTTAGTAAGTTTTAAATAAAATTAAATTAAATATATTAATTTAAAAGTAAAAACAAATTTATACCCCCCACTTTTGTAGTTTAATTAATTAAATTTATATGCCTGATTAACAGACTTTTCTATTTCTAAACTAAAAAATAAAAACTTTTTTAGAATAAAAAAATTTGCTAAAATTAAAAATACAAGCCAAAATGAGCCTCCAAAAGCCAAAAATTCCGAATATAGCTCACAAGGATTTATTAAAATTTGTGAAGACGGCTTAACAAATATAAAATATAATTTTGCTGACGTAAATGAATGGAAAATTATTTTAAATATTTATTTAATTATTTTATTTAATATAATAAAAAAATGAAAACACATTTGGTTCTATCCTCCAATAGAATCCGTCCTCTCGTTTGCTTAAATTAGTGAGGGTGCTTTTATTTTTCAATGCTTATATTTTCTTCAGTCTTCACACTCAAAATTTCCATAAGTTCCAATTAATTTGTTCCGAAATTCAAACTGATCAATTTCTGGAGTATTCAAAACTAGTGAACCTCCCCCCCCCCATTAATATTTAAAAATTAAATTTTTTTAACAAAATATTCAAGTCTTCCATATAAAAATTAAAAAATTTTATTTCCTGAGAATGTTAATTTGAAAAATATATGTAAATCAACGGATAAAAATTAATTGAAGATCAATGTTAAAAAAATCTTTTTTTTAATTCAAATATTGTGTTTCAAAGTATTGTAACAGAAAGGTTTATTTTCAAGATCATTTCCAAAATTAATTTCAATAGAACAAGAAAGCAATTCGAAAAATGGACGTAAATTGTCGTCTTCTCCGTCTAGTGAGAACTTTCCGCCTAAAATTTTAGAAAAATTAAATTAAGGACATTATGTAGTTATTATAGAGATAGCTTTAATATAAAGCTGTCGGTAATTAATAAATTAGGTATGTGTCGGCACTTAATTGGCACCTAGGCTTGTCCTTAGTTATTATCGCCTATTGCTACTTTGTTATCCTTGCATTTACTAGTGTGATAAAGATTAAAGATTCACAAAACTCTTGGTCTTGAGTCTTGACTCAAAACTTTTCTTGGGCTTTTTTCGGTCTTGGTCTCAACTTTTTTGAGCTTTTAAAAAATACACCCCTAAAGATCGGTGAAATAATAAAAGTAAAACCTTCGGGTCTAGTCTTGGAAAATTTTCGGTCTTGGAAGTCTCTAATAAAGATATCATCCTATTCTGTGTTATTCTGTTAATCCCCAGGTTAGGCTCCATCACAAAGTTAGTTACATAACAGAAACCCTTGAGGTAATTCCAAAACAAGTCTACAAATTTAAGTATGTAATTTACAATTATTCCCTCAGATTAAATAAAAAACCCTCACCAATTCTACTCCCATTTTTAGTAAAAAATATATAAGGCAATCCTGTTTTATCTTTCCAAGAGGGAAAAACAACCCCACAACCAAAAACATCTTTATCCTTCCAAGAGGATTTATGAAAGGTTACTTCGTTATTTTGATCATTCCAAAAATTATTTGAATTGTTAATTATGGATAATTTTGTAGGAATATTATAAAAACCAATTCCAACATAACTACTGAAAAATAAATTATATTTTTGTTTTAAAGAAAATTAAAGTATGGATCTCATAAAACTTGTATTTAATTTCAACTTGAAATTCTTTTAAAATAAATTTTATAAGTTTAAATTGTCTTCATAAGGGATTTTCACTATCGATTAACTGGTACCCCCGGTTTGAATTTTAGTTTAAATACAGGCCTTATTTTGGGGATTTTTCCGGTCGTGTCTAAAACCGTCGTGTCAAACTATACTTAAAACTAAATTACAATTTATTACCAGTGGTTGGAAACTTGTACCAAAATTCGTACTCGTACCTGTATACGAAGTCTACATATATTTTTTAAATTTTTAAGTAGGGACCAGACCGAGACGAGATTTCGATTCTCGTGCGACTCTCCCAGTCCAATCTTTTTATTTTTAAGAATCACTCACGTTCGCTCCTTTGCTTCTTCTATCATAGTAACTTCAAAATAAAATAAAGAATAATTACAACAATAACCCCAAGCTTTTGTAAATGGATGTTGGGCATAAAAACAAATAATTTTATTATTAACTTAAAAAAATTTAAAATTAATTTTAAATTTTTTATTTCCAAACCATTTTCTTTAGCCAAATAATATTTAACTAAAATTCCCTCACAAATTCTAATAAATCCTTTTTTAGCTTTGCAGGTGCCATTAGAAATTGTTGAATTAATACATTTATTTTCACAACAAGTTAATTTCTCGCTAATTTCGTTAATTCGGTTTTTCTGTGATACGTAACGCTTAAATGATTTTTTTAACTGAGTTAGTCCTTACATACAAACTCACCACAAATTTTAAATCCAAAACTTCTTTCTTACAATTTGCTAAATCAGTAATTGAATTTTCCAATTCTCTAGACAATTTAGTGTAGTTGTCAATGAAACTTAATTATTTTAATTAAATTAAATCTGGATCAACAACCCTAGAGTTTTCTTTAATAATTCTTTAAAATTTAAATTTTCCCAAGAAATTTTGATAAAAAAATTTAATTCCTATCGTTGTGTAGTGCAGGGATCCTGCCAACAAAAAATCAAAATTCCCGATTTCGGGAATCGGTAATTCCCGACAGAAATAAATTTCCCGAAATCGGGAATCGGGTCGGCAGGATCCCTGGTGTAGTGGTTAACACTTACTTAAAGGGAGAATCAGACTCGATGCCTGGGGCCCATTTCATTTGTCCGCAGATTCTGTATTCTGTACACAGAGCACAGAAGCTATTGAAATTCTGTTTCAATAAATTTCTGAGTACACAAATCTGCGGTTACCACAGAATTTGTGGAAACATGTAAACAACATTCCACAGAATCTGTGGAATAATTGAAACAGAGTTTCTGTGGTTCTGCGGTAAGTGCACGAACGCAAAATCTGTGGACAATTGAAATAGGCCTCTGGTCCAAATGTCTGTTTTAGTGTAGTAGAACATTTAAACAGGTGCAGATCCTGATGGGGTAGGAAATTATAAATCTCGAGGAAGAAAGGTATTGACTTGCTAACAAGAATATAACACCCCCCCCTCCTCCACATTTGAATTCATAATAAATAGCCTTGAAGTATAGCTAATTAAACCTCTAATTAAAATTCTTTTAATATTTATTTATTCACCTTTTTTCATATGTATTTAATCTTTCTTTATTCAAATTATTCTCTTCTTTAATTTTGGCAATTTCAACTTTAAAATTCTCCCTCTCCTTCAAAAACCTCACATTTTCTTTAATTAATTTTTGAATTTCTTCTCTCATTCTCCCCAACTTCCCTTCATTCTCCCTCTTCATTTCTTCCATTTTAACCCCATTCCCTTCAATCAAATCCATCTTTTCTTCAGCTAAATTTAGCACAACTTTTTCCAATTTATTTTTTTCTTTTAAATTTCCTTCATTTTCCCCTCTCAATTTTTCATTTTCCCCCTTTAAACCCTTCAATTTTTCCTCTAAATTTAATTTTTCTTTAATTAATCCCTCATTCCCCTCATTCATTTCCCCATTTTCTTTTCTCAATTTTTTCACTTCTTTTAATCTAATTTCATTTTCTTTTTCCAATTTTTCCATTTTTGTCCTCAAAAAATCAACTTTAATTGAAAGACGGTTATTTTCTTCAATTATTTCCAAATTTTTATTTTTAATTTCTTCCAAATTATTTTGATATTCTTTTTTTATTTCCTCATTTTCGATGTTGGATTTTAATAAATATTCTGTTAAATCGTTGTTTCTGTTAATAATTCGTTTGTTTTCTTTTAATTGTTCCATCAATGAATTTTGCTTTAAATTTTAATTAATATATTGGGGATTTTGGAGATTTGAGAGGGAATTTACCGCCTTTTTAATATAATTTCAAAAAATTTCTGGTAAGAGTTTCCATGCGATTAAATAAAAATTTCCCTTGATGAAAACACTATGGCTGCGTTTACAATAGCATCCATGTTAGGCTTCTGTTGAGCGTTTTGTCGAGCGTCAAGCGCACCTATTTACAATTACGTTCGTGTCGAGAGTTGAGTGCCAAGCATTTTTGCTTTCAAAAAATCTAGAAAAACGCTTGACGCTCAACACACGATGCTTGACACGGATCCATTGTAAATGTAGTGTAACAAGCAACTGGCAACATAAAATACAGTATTAACTTGAATAATTACCCTGGGTACCCATTATTTCAACCTTTCGATAAAAGGGGGGTAATTATTCGAAGGAGGGTAGTTAGTGAAAAAATGCGGTTTGTGGTTTATTTAAAATTTTTGTTTGGACCAAATTTTATCGAAATTTTCTTCCCACCTCCCCCAATTTATTTAAAGATGTTTATTTTTTACCAAATCACATTTATCCTTAATTAACTGCTTTTGCAAGTTTGTTTGATCCATTTCTTCAATTAGTGTTCTTTTACGTTTTCTATAATTATTTAAATTTAGTTGTGGATCAGCCGAATCTTCATTGAAAGAATTTTCAGATGTAGAACTAGTTGAATCATTCATTTTTACTAAAATATAATAGGATCCAATATTGGGTAAATATATTTGTGAAATCTGGGGTAAACCAAGGTTTAGGGTGGTTCCCTTTTATTCTCCCCAAGACTAAGACTTCCCCAAGGCTTTCTTTTATCTTCCTTCCCCTTTATAGAGACGGCGGTAAATTTTAACTCTTCGAAAAATTTCAAACTTTCCGAAGAGTTCCGGAAATTAGCTATTAGGTATAATACTCAATGGTAGGGACGTGCGAGACTCTTGGTCTTGATTACAAGACTTTTCTTGGGTTTTTTCGGTCTCGGTCTTGAGTCTTGGAAAATTTTTAGTCTCGCACGTCTCTACTCAATGGGTCTGCGTGTTAGAACCTACGGTCCACTACTTTTAGTGTGTGCCATAACTTTGGGTGAGTAAGGCCTTCTAATCTCAAAAATTTATGTAAGTTATCCTATTGCGAATAGATTTAGTGATTGGAGTTCAAATTTCCGTAAATACGAAATCTTCCTAAAATTGAAATTTACCGCCGACATATGTACAATATGGCCAGACTTTCTCCTTTTCTTAATTTCTCACGGCAAGGACTACATATTAAAAAATAATTTTTTCTTTATTGTCTGAATATGCTACAGGGAAATATCTAGAGTGAAAATGAAGGAGGGTGAAAGTCTGACCTCTCTTAAAGTTTTTTTAAGAAGAAAGAGGGCAAACCCTAAACCTTGGTTTACCCGAAATTTGTCTGTTTATAAATTTTTAAAAATAAAAAAAACAAAAATAAAACAACAATTAACACATAAATTTACATAACAAAATTAATGTGAAAATAGAAAATAGTAAATGAAAAATAGCAAAAACTGAACATATCTTTTGCATCTCCTTCCCCCTTTACTATCTTAAACTGTAGACATTTACAAAGAATCAATATAATAGGTTGGTTGGGTATTTTTTGGGGTTTTAAAGTATAAAGATTAATTAAGGGTGATAATGTTGAATAAATATTATTAGAATAGAAAACAATTCAAAAATTAGGAAAAAATTAGCCCTATACATTTTTTCCTCATTTTTAAAAATGGTTGGTCTATTTTCCTTAATAGTTGAGTTTGTTGTTGTTTCCGTAAGGAAAAATGGAGAAACAACTAACTTTTTTATACACACAAGTAGCTGTATATCTCCTTCCTTACCTATTCTCCGTGGAAGGTTTTGCTGCTGTGGAGGAAGCCAGTAGAGATCGAACAAAAGACAAAATCAAATATTTGATCAAATAATTTTCAAATTATTTGATATTTGAAAAAATCAAATTTCTTCAAAACTCATCAAACAAATATTTGATAAAATAAAATCAAATAAAATTTGGTCAAATATTTGATTTTATTTGACTAAATTGGTCCGATCTCTAGAAGCCAGGCATGTCCACCGCCGCGAAGATAGGAATATATAGGTTTATTGTTAGGTTACTAGTGCAGAACCCAGCGACCGGTGACTCCCCGCGAAACGCGCGCATAAAGTTTTAATTCCAAATTTAATTCCAAATAATGTTTAATAAAAATTTAAATAACAAATACATAAATATTAAAAATAAAATATTACTTAATTTAAACAAATTTAAAAATAAATATGTATTTTTTAAAAATTAAAAATCTTCAAATATTATGTTTGAAAGTATTGTAACTGAAAGGTTCGTTTTCGAGATCATTTCCAAAATTAATTTCAATAGAACATGAGAGCAGTTTAAAATATGGACGTAAATTGTCGCTATCCTCTTTCAATGAGAATTTGTTGCCTAAATTAAAGTTAACTGAATTTAGAAAAGTTTATAACATCCCGTTACCCATACTCCGATGATTTTTTTGCAGAAACCCCAACCGAACCCCGATATACTCTCTTCGGCAAATCCCGATACTTGACACTCTCGACCCTAAATGTTAGGGGTGCCAACCTAGTTTAAATTTAAATTGTAAAACTTGGTGTTCTTAAAATATTTAAAGACCGAGTACTATATATGGGGTGTCTTAACTTTATCTACTATTTCTTGACCCTCGTATTGGTTTCCTATTCCAGAATTTCCTCTTCAGAAAAAAACTCTCACCATTTTTTCTACCATTTTTTGTAAAAAATACATAAGGTAATATGTTCAAATCCTTCTTTGATGGAAAAACAACTCCACAACCAAAAACATCCCCGTCCTTCCAAGGAGATTTTTGATATAATTCGGTTCCATTAAGATTTAAACGACCATTTAAAATATACATTGATGGAGCCTCTTTATTGTAGAAACCAATTTTTGCATAACAACTGATAATTATTTTATTTTAATCTTTCAAGTTATTTTGGCTCTATTACACAATATACGTCCAATCAACTTTTATACGTCCAATCAAAGTTTATGCGTCCAATGAAAATTTATGCGTCCAATAAAAAGTTTATGCGTCCAATCAAATTTTATACGTCCAAACATATTTTTATCACTTATTATTTGAACTGAATATTTTCGGGCCTAATTTTTTTTCAAGCCGGACCGGTCGAGTCTTTATCTGGCTTCATTTTTATCGAACCTGGCACTGATTCGGCGTCCGGTCGAACCTGGCACTGATTCGGCGTCGGCGTCTGGTTCGACCTATCGAGCCGAACCGGGCCGGCAACCCTAATTGGAATACAAGTCCCGGTTTAATTTTTGGTAAAGCATTCAAAATTAATTGATGAAATAAGATTTTTTATTTAAAATTATTTCTTAAATTATATTCATGATAAAAATATGTTTGAATGTATAAAATTTGATTGGACGCATAAACTTTGATAGGACGTATAAAAATTTGATTGGACGCATAAATTTTCATTGGACTATAAACTTTGATTGGACGTATAAAAGTTGATTGGACGTATATTGTGTAATAGAGCCGTTATTTTTGCCAAGTTTATACCCTTCTAATTGAGTCAAGTTTTGGATAGTGCCCAGCTCTTCTGCTAATAACCAAAGTAAACTTTCTCTACAAAATGAGCTATCGGAGCTTTACTTTTGCCGGCTCTTTTAGAAAAATCGACCCTGTGGATCTTCAATTTTCAGAGGCTTGTATCTCGATCCAATCAAATCATATTTCATTAATTTTGGTGTCAGACTCAGCTCGATGAGCCCTTTCGAATGAGCTTTTTTAGCATATTCAAATTTTTACCCTAAATGACTCTATGGTTTTTGACCATTTCAAGCCATATATCTCGGGTCCACATGCACCTCCGGGAAGAAAGGTACGTTTGACTCGGCACCTTTTATTACCCTATATATGACATCCCGCCTCCAGCAGTATCTCCCTTCTCCCTACAAAACTTTAACATTTTTTTGGCAATTTAAAACCCCTACAATTTGTCTTTCACGTCTTCCAACATTGTAATTTCAAAATAAAATAGAGAATAATGACAACAAAACCCTGCCGCTTTTGTAAATGAATTTTCTGCATAAAAACCAATTTCATTGTTAACTTAAAGGAATTTCTTTCTTAAAATAATTAACAAAATTTTATTTTTACTTGTATCGTCCACCGAATGATAGTTCACTATTCCATCATCCTGAACACGAATAAAGCTATGCCCGGAATTACAAGTTCCTTCAGATAAATTTGAATTAATACATTTATTTCCACAACATGTAAAGTAATTGCTAATCTCGTTAATTCTGTTCTCAATGGATACATAACGCTAAACGATTTTATAAATTAAATAAACTTTGATTGTGTATAAAGAATTTAAGTGGAAGATAGAAATAAACATTATGGATAGCTTTATGAATTTATCAAATTCAGTCATTAAACCAATTCGTCATGATTTTGTTTTTGTTTTAAAACATAGGGTCCACCCCAGTTATTTCCGTCCTATGTCACTTAATCCCAACTCAATACCCTCCTCAATACCCACAAATCCGCTTTAATATGCACAAATCCTTATTTATCAGCCCAAAATTTGTATTTGACCTTCTGGGCCATTTGATCTCCAGGGTCTTGACCTTTTAGGTTTTGACCTACTGGGTTGATCCCCACAATTTACTATATTAAAACTTGTTTTTACAATTTGCGATAATTGTAATAGAGTTGTGTGTAAATATTAGATATACCTAAATATCGAAAAGCACTTATTCCTCTTCTTACGGAGATGGAAAAATGTGAAAAAGGGGCCGACTACAGAACCGACTTTTACCGTGGATATTTTATCTGTAATACCAAGGCTGGTTAATCTCTTCTACACAAAAGAAAATCAAACTTACAACAAGTTTCAAATTCAAAGCGAGCTCATTTCTACACTTTGTCAATTCAGAATTTGCCCGTTGTAATTCAATAGACAACTGATTATTTTGTCGAAGCAAAGCAGTTTTCTCGTCTGTCGGTAACTGACAAGCATTTCTGTAATTCTCCAATTCCTTCAAATTGAAATTTTTTTCTTCTCTCAATTTTAAATTTTCTTTATTTATTTTTTCCAATTTTTTGTTCGAATTTTGGTATTCTTCTTTCAATTTATTTAATTCATTCAATAATTTTGAATAATCAGTTTCAACTTCAACTACTTCTTCCAAATATAATTTACTCTCCTTTTTGTATTTTTCTTTTTCACTGTTTGATTTCTCCAATTCTTCATATAATTTATTTTTTTCGGAAAGAAGGTCCTCATTTTTATTAATTTCTATCATCAGAGAATTTTGCTTAATTTTTTGAATTAAAATATAAAATTAAAAGGAAAGTATTGGCAAAAATTCTTGACATATTTATGCCGATCCCCAATGAGAACGACACCAATCAGTCCAACCAATCCAATCCGTTCTCCAAATCTTCAATGACGTTTCCCTATATTAAAGTCCGATTTCATTTAGAAATTCTATTTCATATTAGAATGACCCGCTAGGTCACGATAACTCTCCAATGTCGAAAAACTTACAAGATTGTTCAAATCTTTATTTTGAACAAAAAAGGTAATGAAAGCCAGAGTGAGATGGATATCCGCGGATTTCGAGCATCATATCCGTATCCATCTGAGTTAAAAAAATATCCATATCCGGATATATCCGTATTTGCTCTAGTAATCCTCCAAGGGTATTATTGTTTCCACCCATCTCTAGAGTGGGGAATTATTAGAGACTGATTAATTACTAGAGCAAATACGGTATCCGTATCTATGAACAGGGCTGATGAGAGAAATTCGAAAAATCTATCAGACCAGGTGCTCGAAGAATTAGAAGCCCCTCCCAACTATTTTTAACCTTCTATACCCCATTTATTCTCTATTTAAATGAATTTATCAAAATATTTATTACCAAATCAGACTTATCATTAATTAATTTCATTTCCAAGTTTGTCTGCTCCATTTCAAACTAAAAACTTTTTTAATTTAAAAATAAAATTTTTTAAATTAACTGCCAAGGATCTTTTCCGGCAATTATTTTGTTTCTCTACAAAATTATCATCACAACTTTCATCAGAACTGTATGAATAAAACACCGTTTTACGCTTTCGACAATTTTTTAGTATTTTAAAACTAGTAGAACTGGTAGTTAAAGAATTTTGAGATGTTGATGAATCAGACATTTATTTAAATTAATTAATTAAAAATATTATCATAAGATTATTATTTAATTATTAAATTATGATGTTGAAATTTATTAATTTTTTCTAGAAAATAACAAAAATTGACGAGGATAGGGGGAAAATGGTAAAATATGGAAATGTGGAAAATAGGGAAAATCCTTCCTTTTAGTTTCAGACCCAACATAAACTTGTTTTTGTTCGTTTCAGACAACTAGAAATTCAAGAAAAACGAGGGATACCTATTAATCTGTTCAATTTAAAAATAAAATTGTTGATATGTATTATTCTAAAAATTATCTCTTGGTCTAGGAATGGGTTTATAAATTAACGTAGAATCAAATTTTTTAGCTATTTTTTAAGAGCCATTTCCTCCTTGTTTAAAAAATCTTAATCTCCTTTCTGATAAACTCAATAAAAAACAGAAAAGTGAAAAAATTTGAGAAAGATTGAAAATTTTTTTACATAAATATAAACATTTCTGTTTTTGTGAACATAAATAAGAGGAATCAATAGGTTGGGGGTGTTCTTAGAACTGTTTTGTAAAAATGTTTGGTTTGAAAAGATGGAAAAAAAGTGAGTTTGTCTCTCTAAATTAATATTGTAACTGTGAAGGAACGCAACATTACTAACTATTCTATAGGCAAAAAACAATATCGTTTAAAGATCTACATATAAAAGTTGAAACCAAAAGTCATTATTCTTTTGCAAAATTGATGGGTACATATCAGGGGTGTGCCGAAAGTCATTTTAAAAAGCGAACGGCGAAAATGCGAAAGTCCAAAAAAGCCCAAAATCGACGAAAGATGAAAGGCCCAACAGCCAGCTTTCTTCAATTTACAGCGCCGCAGGCAAAAATTTTGAGAATTTTGGAAACACAAGTAGCCAAATTTCCTCTCAGATTGGGTATATTTTTTGCGTTTTTCTGCGTTAATTTCGTCAAAGAAAACGCAACCAAGGCCAAAGTTTAGCTTTTTTTTTGACTTCCTGGCCTTCCGAAGTTTTTTTTTTCCTGGCCTTCCGAAGTTTTTTTTTTTAGTTTTTTTTTTCTGACTTCCTGGCCTTCCGAAATTCTCAAAATTTTCGCCTTATTTGAAATTTTAAAGCTATGCCCTAATTTTTGCCCTATTTTAGTGTTTTGGAAGGGGCCACCCTGATAGGGGATTAAGATTTAAAATTTAAAAAGCTACTAAAACTACTAAAAAGGATAGCAGTAATCTTATTTATTTTCAAAAAATAAGGGACTTTGGACTCTGAAAAAATTTTATTGTTAATTCACGTGAAATTCCTCTATTTCACACATTCTCTTTTTGAGTTATTAATTAATCTGAGAATTTAAATTTTGAAATTAATTTTTATAAAAAAAACAAAAAATAAATTCTAATAAATAGACTAAATATAGAAAGAAAAAAAAATAAAATCTCAAAGAGCATTTAAAATTAAAGGTTAGAAAGGGGCAGCTTTCGTTGAGAGTATTGAGCTATTCAGACAGTTAAGTAAATAGGCCAAATGTCTTGACAACTACTATTTAAAATTTAAAAATGGATATTTCTTTCATTGAAATTTTCAATTTTTTATTTTCCTGTACTTTTCCTAGTTTGACAAATTTGGCCAAATAAATACTAGCAGATTTACCCATAAAAGTATATTATTTTTAATAAGAATAAATAAAATTTAAATAAATAAATTTACAAAAATGATTAAAATTAATTCTAATATTATATTTTTAATTTTTTTAATAATTAATTTTATGATTTATTGCACAAGAGCTAAGAACGGCGGCCCATCGCATAGAGGATGTGGACATGGTAGTCATGAATGTAAGTCAAAAAAATTAATTGAATTATGTATGTCGGATAGGTCCACAGGGAATGGTAATAAAGCTAGTGAGTAAAGGAGGTCGGTCGGAAATACGAAGGTTCCGGAAATCGTAACCATCGGAAATCAGAATTCCGACCGAATCTGGTGAGTATAAAAATTTTATTATTATATATAAAAATGAATATTTTACTAGATAATCTTTAGAAAATAGGGAACTTATTTACTTTAACCTAATTATTTGCTCAAAATGGTCAGAGCAAAACTTGTGTAAAACCCGCGTTTCGCGAGGGTTTCGCGGCAGGCGCTTCGTGGGGAGCTAAAGGTCGATGAGTTCTACACTAGTAGAACTCAAAATTTAGTTCCTCGTAATTTTGTTCAAAATCATCAAAACAAGTTGATTTTGTTACCATTCGACTCAGCTCGTCGAGCTCTTTCGATTGACATAATGTATATTGTCAAAATCTAATTGAAAAATCCCACACAAAAATTTTGAGGTGGGTAGTTAAAGTAAATAAGTTCCGAAAATACATACAATTAATTAAGCAATAAAAATTTGATAAAAATTATTTTAATTTATTTTTTAATCAGGTCATCCAAGAAACTGACAGAAAATGAGGATGTAGCCGACTTTTCTGTGGAAATAACACGGCTATTTTTACTATTTAATATTTGAAAGACTAAGATGTATCCCAATCACTATTTTAATATTTTTCTATTTAAAAGTTTTTTGTAGGGATAAATTATTTGAAAAATTTGGAAATGTGTATATATTTTTGTATTCCGCAATTGCAAATTTTTGTTTTTAAATACCTGCGGATCCGAGGTGGGTCGGAATTCCGACTTCCAACGTTTTTTCCTTCCGATTTCTGATTTCCGAAATTTTTAAGGCATATTTCCGGTAAATGTCCAGTTGATCAGAGTTGCGTCGTAATTGAAAATTTTTTTCGTAATCGTAATTCGTAATTTAAAAAATGCCGTAATTCGTAATTTTTTAAAAATATTTAAATTAATGTTCTAGATCACTTAGGAGATCAGTTAAGATATGAGCATCAATCATAAATCACCAAAAATTATGAATCCTGAAAATCACGCAAACACAGAACAAAGTGGCCTATTTGATAAAAATATGTAAGACAGGGCCTTCGAGGACCAAGTATTGGTGTAAGCAGTGGAGGGGCAACTACGAATAGTCAAAAATCGCTGGTGAAATCGAGACAGAAAATATTTTGCATAATTGTTAAACGAGTGGAGGCATGGTCACGGATACTGATTTTGGTATACGTATCCGCATATTTACGGCGGATACAGGCAGATATCCGCAGTCATTTTGATATTATCTGTATCCATATCCGTATCCATGACCATGCTAAGAGAAGTTAAAATTAATATCCGAATATATTTGTTATATCACTAAGGATTCTTAGATAATTTAAAATAATATTTTCCGTTTTGAATATTTTTAATTTGATAATTTATTTGATAAAAATATGAGTTCGGAATCTTCGATAACCTATAAAGTGTAGTAACATTTGATTTGCCAACATTATTTGCCCATTTTTAAATCTTTAAGAGAGAGGGAGAGAAGAAAGAAGGAAGGTGAAGACAGAAGAACAGGTTCGGACCAGGGCTGTGCGTCATGGCGTTTTGGCGTCGTTTTTGGCCGATTTTGGCGTTCTGGCGTTTGGCGTGATTTGAAAATTTGAAAAATTGGCGTTTGGCGCGCCACGCAAAAATTCTGCCGCACAGCCCTGTTCGGACAAACATTTGCGGGTTCTTATGCTTGACATAATGCCGAACAAAGTCTTCAATTTAGGCAATATATAGATTATGAGACATGCAGTATGTAGATGGGAAATTTGCTTTATAACAAATTTCAGACAGAAATTTGTTTATAAATAGAGAAAATAAATAAAAGTTACTATCATTTAAATTGTTTTTTATTTTTATTTTCAGAGGTTTAAGTTTATCAAAAATTAATTAAAAATACTTTTTAAAAATATGGCTGAATGTAAAGATATTCAATTTCAAGAAATGGAATTATTAGAAGTTTATAAAATTTATTTATGGGAATGCAATGAAATTCAATTACAAGACTTGGATGTATTTGAGGTGTATAAAAAATTTTTAATTATTTAATTTTGGAATAAGAAATATTAGAAAAAATTTGAAAATTTTTTACCCTCAAAATTAATTTTAGAAATTCATAATAAATTTTTGGAGTAAGAAGATGTGGTGTATTAGTTAGTCTATTAGCCTCTACCTACTGGGTTATAGAGTTCGTACCTTTTGGTGGTCATAGATTTTTTTATTTAATTTAAAGACTTTTTAATCTCAAATTTAATTTTAACGATTAAAAAAATTTTTTGGGGGTATAGGGTCGACCCCTTGTTTGTAAAAAAAATTTGGGGGGGGGGGGGGGGGGGGTATAGGGTCGACCCCTTGTTTGGAAAAAAATTTTGGGGGGGGGGGGGGTATAGGGTCGACCCCTTGTTTGGAAAAAAAATTTGGGGGGGGGGGGGGGGGGTATGGGGTCGACCCCTTGTTTGGAAAAAAAATTTGGGGGGGGGGGGGGGGGTATGGGGTCGACCCCTTGTTTGGAAAAAAAATTTGGGGGGGGGGTATGGGGTCGACCCCTTGTTTGGAAAAAAAATTTGGGGGGGGGGGGTATGGGGTCGACCCCTTGTTTGGAAAAAAAATTTGGGGGGGGGGGGGTATGGGGTCGACCCCTTGTTTTTTGGAAAAAATTTTATTTATAAAAAATTTGAAGGATTTATTAATTAATGTTCATACTACACAACCTGAAGAATCTGAATTGGTAAATATCTCAGAAGATGAGAAAGAAAGGGAGACTGAATCCTTGACTAAATCCGATGGTTTTAAAAATATTTTTAAATTTTTTAAATTCATTTTTAAGGAAACTTTGAAGACTTTAGTAAATTGGAGGAGGCATTTGAAGTGCAAGTGAAAATAGCGGAACCTTCTGCCAACATTAACTCTGTATACATTTTAAATATAAGAAATTTTTTGAAAATCCTCCCTTTAAAAAATAATCAAAATACTTTGGGTTGCAAACTGTTTCTTATATAATTCTAATTATTTTTCAATTTTTAGCCGCCTTGCTCTAATAATCTGGCGACCTTGGCAATACAAAATCGCCAGGAAAATGCAAGATCGCCAGGCTCTGATAACTCAGAGTTTTTTAAAAACTCTGGAAGTGGATGTGATTCTAAAAATAGTCCAATTTTGGTTAATTCCGAGAAATTAAGGTTTAATTTTGGACAAATTTTTAACATTTTTTGTTATTTTTCAGTCACGATAATTGTATGCAAATTAAAGATTGCCAGGAGCTTACAAATTTTAACAAAGAGGCGACTAATTTTAATTCCTCATCCGGTTCTTCTCAGCCAGCTAGTTCTTTTTACCTTCAAAATGTAAACATATTTTTAATAAATAATATTTCTCAAAATTAAATACCGTATTTTCTGTAATGCCCCCTCGGTAATTCCAAGGCTGGTCCCCCTCTTCTTTTCCTTTCAATTTTTTCGATTTTTTAAATTTTTTATGGCAAATTATATATCATTCGAAAGAGCTCTTCAAGCTAAGTCGAACGGTACTAAATTCATCGAAATCCGACTTAAATAAACATAGTTATGACCATTTGTTTTAATCCCTTTCAACATCACAAAAAGCAAGTCCATCGAGGATTTAGCTTCATAATTTGGTTCAAAATCGACAAATCTATCCAAACATAGTATCATTCTACTAAGCTCGAACAGCTCTTTCGGTTGATATATTGTAAATTATATTTCAAGCAAAAAATCTCAAAATGGTCAGGCGAACATAAAAAAAGGGGGCTAGCCTTGGAATTACTGCCCCTCTGAATCAGAGCCTTCTCTTTAATACAGCCTCCTTTGTGAAATGGGTGAAAAATAGGGGCTTCATTGCCATTAATACAATAAATTAAAAGTTTGGAATTTTTAGGGTGACATTAGTAGAGTCCTGAACAGTGTAAATTTTAGACTTTCCGTTTTAAGAACCTGTTTCGAAGGTTTTCAATCAACCAGAAATACCTGTCCCGTAGCCATTAGGGTCATTTTTCAATTCCTGTTGCTGTTTTTTCAACTCTAGTCATTCAATATATTCACATTTTTAACAGGAATGTTGTGATATTCTCATCAAGCCATCAAAATTTTATTTACTTACTGAACTAAATAAAGAGAAAGTAGATAGACAGCGATTTGAGAATTTATATAGAAAAAAGGTTTCTTTAATTGTAATTTGAGTTACCGGCCCAACTCCGAAATTATCGAGTTGGCCATCGAAATTTTGGCCCGAAAATGACTCAAATTGGCCCGACTCGAAAACTAATTGTAAAATGTTTATTTTTATTTATAATTTAGAAAATTGAATTGGAAAAGAAAGAAAAGGATATACTTAGAATGGTTTTTTTAATTTTCTTTAATTTCTAATTTATTTTCATTTATAATTTAGAAGATTGCATTGGTAAATAAAAAGGACTGTATAGATGAACTGGTTTTTTTTATTTTTTTTTTGATTTCTAATCTTTAATTAGACTTCTGAACTCGAAACAGCAGAAAAAACAGTTGAGGCCTTGCGAAGGCGAATTAAGGAACTTTCTCAGGAAGTGGAAGAAGTAGAACCAAAAAGTGATCAAGAATTTTCCTCTCAAAAGGACTATAAATCAAATGACAAGGAACAATGGTTCGCTATAAACCTATAATGTGTAAAAAGATTTCTGATCCGGGAAAATTTTTTTCCAAATTTGGGGATTTTTAAACATTGTTTTAATGTTTTTTTCCCATTTTTTGGTATTTATGTGGTATCCCCCATGAATTTTTCTTCTCCGTTCGTTTTTACATTCTCCAAAAATAGTACACATAATTGAGAGTAGAGCTCGGACCTCTTCTGTTTTTCGATATATGTATTTCTTCAGTGCGCCTGCGTTGTTGATCACTTTTGAAGAGACGCATAAAAATGCGAGTTTTGAAAATAGAGCAGATTATCCGTCGTTTTAACACTGGAACCCTGAAGAGAGACAATAACGAAAAACAGAAAAGGTCCTAGCTCTAGTTCAAAGTACCCTTTTTTAAATAGATTTATAATTTCATGTCTTCACAATTTGCTTCAAATGTTTCAAAAGACAACGACGTTTATTTACTTTTTAAATATTACAGTAAAATTAAAAAAAAAATTTTTTTTAACTTTAAATTTTTTAAGATTCTTGTTCTAATTATGTTTCGTCTGATGTGCCCAATTTAAATTCAATTTTAAAGAAGAAAAACAACAAATGCTATCCACAAAAACATGTAAAATGGGCAATTTGACTTTTTTGGATTTTAAAGCTTTTGAGCATTTTATTAATTTATTTTTTTATCTTAAAGTATTCTTTTATACTAAAGGTGATATTGAAGGTTACATACCAGGGGTGTACCAGTTTCGCGTTTCGCCTTTCGCGGATTTTCGCGTTTTTTGGACTTTCGCGTGTCGCTTTTTTAAATTTACTTTCGCGTTTCGCGTTTCACTTTTTAAATTTAATTTCGCCTTTCGCGTTTCGCTTTTTAAAATCCGTTTCGGCACACCCCTGTTACATACACCCCTTTTTTCATCCCTTAGTTTTTCCATAAAATTTATATAATGGTCAGACTTTCTTCACTTTCTTTCTTCACAAATTCCCTGTTCTGTTATTTGTTAACAAATAAACAAGTATTTGTACTGCATATAAGGGTACTTGTACCATTTTCTGGTATTTGGGAAAAATTCAAAAAAAAAGGGGGAGGAAAATGTGTGTCTGTAAACTTAAATATTACCAAACTAAAGATTTCTCACAAAAAATGTAAATTTTTTGACTTTATTTTTCTTATATGTTGCCTTATTTGGTGATACGTACTTTAAAAAATAAAAGTCATATTAGAAGCATGTTTATGTTTAAAAATCAAAAAATTCGATATAAAGTTTGAGAAAATATTCAAATAATTACTTAAATTTGTAATTTAATAGTAGTCAGAAATCGCTCAATTATATGGGCGTAGTTGTAAACCACTAGCAAATCCAATATCTAGGCAGGCGATTCCAAATTCGGGATTAACAGAGATATTTGTGCATTTTGTGCAATATCGTGGGATTTAGAGGACAATAGTGATATCAGAAATCAAAAGCGAATTAAGGGTATCCAGGGAAGCCCTCCAAGTATTAAGAGAATTAAGAGGATTTGGGAGACCTGAGATTTCATTTTAATATTTTTAATTTGATAATTTGCCTATTTGATAAAAATATACATATAGGACAAGGCCAAAAAATATATAGGACAAGGCCTTCGAGGACTAAGTATATGTGTAGGCAGTCCAATTTGGCAACCCTAATCAAGACAGAAAATATTCTGCATAATTCTTAAACGGATAGAGATTGTACTTAAATATTTCAAAATAAAAAAACACAAAATTAATTTAGGATTTATAATAAAAAATATGTAAATAGTTAAAAATTAAAAATATTAAAATTAATATATTTATTTTTATTTATTTCTCTGGTTTTGCCAAAAATTCATTTCCGTCAAAAGGCTTTCCATTAAAATAAATTATAAAATTTCTTCCACTTTTCTTCTCTCCATTCAAAATATTTTCAGTTTCATTTTTAGTTGTTGACCGTCTAATTTGTTTAACTTCCTTTTCTAGTGAAGAGAAAACAATACTTTTTTCAACTTTAAATAAAACAAAAAGTTTAAGTAAAATTTAGGGACTTGTCTAGTTTATGCACCATGAATTTCAACTGATATAAACTAGAGATCGGTAAAATCACATTTGCAGGATCCTGTATCAGGATTGGGTTTTAAAATTCCGAACAGGACAGGATCCTGCAGGATTAATCCTGAAAATCCCGGAATCCTGAAAACTGAAAAAAGGCAGGATTTCGGACAGGATCCTGAAAAATCCTGTGCCGATCTCTAATAAAACACACAACTGTTTTTGGTACCATTAGAAGTACCATTAAAGTTCTACACAAATTACAGACAGTATTTTGTGTATCACATTCCCATTTCTGTTATTTTATTACAAACTTTCCAGCAATCAGTATGGATTTCTGCCCCCATAAAGAAAATATTCTCTTTCAGATACCCAAATTTTTTATAAGCCTTCTCGAACAAAATCTCTAATAATTGGCAAAAGGGTTCTCCTCTCCCCTTTTTTGTCCTTCTAATGTCCCTCCCTCAAATAATTCCCCTGCTATGGATGACTTGAAACAATAATCCCCCTCCCCCAAATACACTACTACACGTTCAAATTTCAAAACTCGAATAATTCCCCATGTCACGGATGGGTTAAAAAAATAATTCCCCAGGGAATTAATCGAGTAAATACGGCAATTGTATTATGGTTGTTTATAGCATTTTAAACTCATGATGATAAGCTACACAAGTACCAAATTTAGAAAAAACTACTTTTCTTCTTTAAAATTCCAATTTGTTCCAAAAAATATCCTTTTTCTCTTTCTATTCGAGTAAATTCTTTCTTATTTTCTTCATTTTTTAAAAGTAACCAATTATTTATTCTTTTCATATTTGTCAATTCAATATTATTTTCATTTTGTTTTAATTCAAAATAATTTTTAAATAAATTCTAAAAAATATTTTAAAAGAGATTAAAATAATTATTAAATAAAATTTTTGATTTTGGGAATTTTTTTGGACAAATTTGTTTCTAAAGATAAATTTTAAGTTCGGGTTATGTGGTAATAGTTTGGTGTTTACCCCCTTTTTCTGTTTCCCTGGCTGTTTTGAGCGTTTCTTTACTTGATCTATAAATATAGCATTCGAAAGAGTTCTTCAAGCTGGGTCGACTGATACACAGTAGAGATCGGACCAAACAAATATTTGGTCAAATAAAATCAAATATTTGACCAAATTTTATTTGATATTATTTGATCAAATATTTGTTTGATGAAGGTTTGAAAAATCAAATATTTGATCAAATATCAAATAATTTGAAAAATTATTTGATTTTCGTTTTTAGCATGTAAGATGGCATATTTTCCTTATAAAATCGATATGATAACCGAGATTTTTGCTCAATGACAAATTATTTATCGTATCAGAATATATCCCGATGCACATGATACCCCTATATTACTTCATAGTTGAGTCCGCACAATTGAGTCACCCTTGTATAGTAATTTAGAAGGGATTTTGGGGATTATCAGTGATATTGAGGGATTGAGGTGGATCGTTTTAGATGATTTGGGAGGATTAAGATGAATTTAGGCGGATTAAAGGGAATATAGATGGATCTGGCGATTAAAATATATATATCAATGTAATTGGCATGATTAAGAGGATATCAGAGCATTTGGAGGATATCGAGTGATTAAGAGAAATAACTGGTAATTTAGATGGCTATAGACGGATTTGGAGGGATTTTGTTATTAAGAGGGATATAGTGGGATTTGGGATCGATATCGACAGATTTGGAGGGATTATGGAATTAAGAGGGATAAAGGGTGATTTGTGATGCATATCGACGGATTTGGAGGAATATAGGTGGATTAAAAGTGTTATCCCGATGCACGTTATATCCCTTTATTACTTCAACTCTTAATCTCCCAATATCCCCCTATATCCCCCTTAAGCCTTACAATTCCCTCATATCACTCTTAATCCCTCCACATCCATCTTAATCCTACGATATCATCTCCATATCATAATATCCCCGATATACTCTCAAATACACAGATTTATATGGTATTCCAAAATTTTTTAAAAAATTTGATATTTGATCAAATATTTGACTTTGCAAATCAAATTTTTTCAAATATCAAATAATTCTCAAATTATTTGATCAAATATTTGTTTGATGACTTTTGGGACAAATCAAATTTTTTCAAATATCAAATAATTTTCAAATTATTTGATCAAATATTGGATTTTTCTTTTGTCCGATCTCTAATACACAGATAGGTTGAATTCGGTGTTTCTGATCAAAATTGTAAAGCTGAATCCTCTCTGGAAAAATATTTTGTGTCACTACAAGGAAGTAAAACAAGCTTTGTTGATTTAAGTCAGATTTCGTTTATTGTAGTACCATTCGACCCAGTTTGACGAGCTCTTTCGAATATTATATAATTTGTCAAAAAAATATGCCGCAGATGAAATCAGGAACATATGTAGGGGGGGGGCTAAACCAAACTATTACCGATCTAGACCAAACTATTTGTCTTTTTGTAGTTCTACAGTAAGATTGTCGGATAATTGGAAATCTTCGGATATCCAGATCCGATATTCGAACCGAAAATTTCCGGATATCCGGAGTAATGAAACGAAACCATATTTTGAACCATATTTTGTTTGTTCAAAACTTTTTTGGATCCGGATATCTGGATCCGACAACCTTTTTTACAGAAATACATAGATTTCTTCAAAATCATTTAAAAAAATTAAAAATGACTAAAATATTTATTTTCCAAAAAAAATTAATTTTAAATTAAGAATTACCAATTTCCACAAAATATAACCACAAAAAACAAAATTAAATATAAAAATAATTGTTAGGAAAATAATTAAAGTTTTAAGATTAAAATATTTTTGTAAATGTTGAGATAAAGATTTTGAATTATTATTAATAGAATTGTTGGGAATTATTGAAATAATAAATGTTGGAGAATTTGTATTTTTAGTTAATCTAAAAAAATTAATTTAACTTTCTGTTAATTTATTTATAAATCCCCCTTCCAAATTCCCCTATCTTTTTAATTATCCAAAACTTTATTTTTCTTTTTCAAGATAAATTTAACTAGTAGTATGTTAAATTTAAATACACAGTTACAAATTTTTGTATGAGCCTATTAAAAATATTGGTCAGAATTTACTTTTTTTGGTAATTTTCCATTAACGACCGCAAATTGAGTGTCCGTGGACTTTGAAAGCTATAACTTTTTAATGCTTCATCCAATACAGATGAATTTTATATCACTCGAAAGCCCTTGATAGGCTCTATCTTTTTCCAACTTGATGGATGAGGTCTTATCAACAATTAAAAAGTTATAATCCGATAACTATGAAAAACACGAAATAACATACCGAAAAACTTTTCAGGTTATAACTTTTTAATGAGCGATTAGACTTGATCTATCCTATTAAAAAAAGATAGTGCTCATTGAGGGATTTTGAATGATATAAAATTCATCTGTATGTACTGGATAAATTTATAGATATTCAAAGACGACTGGCACTCAGCTTCCGGTCGTATAACGGAAATTTTTTTTAATTAACTTCATTTCTTTATAGAAAATACCTTTTAATTTTAATAATATCATTTACATAATGATTATTATTCTCCAAATCGTTAATTTTTAATTTAAATGAAGGTGCTGTTTTTAAATTATTATTTTCCAAAATTTGTTGATTCTCGTCATTTTGTTGTTCAAAAGAGATATTTTGAATTTTATAAGGCGAATAAGCGGGATTTGAAAGTGAAAATGGGCCGTTAATTGTATAGGACATTTTAAATATTTTTTTAAAATTCTTGCTAAAAAATAACCCAAATAACTAAATGTTGTGCCTATTTATATTTAAACCTTTGCCCTTCCTTCACAAATGTTAGACATGATTTAAAACAAATAGAAAACATTTTTAAATATTTTTATAAGAATGTTTACGGCAATCAAAATTTTTATGAGAAGGGAAAAAACGCGGCAATCTTCAATTAAATTTTTTATTTTAGAGTCTTTTTAATATTAAATCAATTTTTATATCAAATAATTTATAAACTAATTTTCAATTAATTTTTTTAAATTTAAATTAAAAAATAATAATTTCTTTAAGATTTTTGTTAGGTTAATTAAATTTATTTTTTTAATTTTAATTTATTAATTTAAAAATAATTATCGATGGTTACTCTAATTATTTAATTAGCAAAAAGTTGTAAAATATATAAATTAGGCAATTTATAAAATATTTTACAATGTTTTTCCTAAATTATTTGAATAATTTTAAAAAAGAAACAAATTGCCTTTTAAACTATTACAGGGTGAACAGGAAGTAACCGGGCACCTTATTTATGTCATTTGTTCAAATTAAAAATAATTAGATCAAATAAAAATTAAATAATAAAGAATCAAATAGGGAACGATATCAAGAATTTCGAAGTGCCAATTTTGGCAAAAGTTCGCACACTCTCGGGTAATATTTTCTTCTGTTCCCAAACCAGTGATTGACGAAGCGACTCAAAACTCTTGCCACCAAAATACCGAAAAGTAATACATCGGATTAAAATCCAGTTCAAAAAGAGTGCAATGTAGAAAAAAGGGAAAAAAGGGGGGGGGCACACGTTACAAGCCATATTCTCACTAAAATTTTTTGGGACATAATTTAAGAATTCCTAAAAAAATATATTTTGTTTTAATTTGATAAAAAATTTAATAAAAAATAATATAAATTCATAAATGTAAATGCAAGTCAAAAATAAATATTTGTTGAGCATCAATGAAGGTTAATAACTTTTCAAAAAATCAAAATTCTTTAAATATTATGCTTAAGGATGTTGTAACGGAAAGGTTTCTTATCGAGATCATTTCCAAAATTGATTTCAATGGAGCATAAAAGTAATTTAAAATATGGACGTAAATTGTCACTATCCTCTTTCAATGAAAATTTGTTGCCTAAATTAGAGAGAAGTGTAGATGAGTTTATGGTTATACTGTTCTCATGTTTTATAATTATAAAGAGGTCTTAGTTAAAATTGGTCTTAGTTAGAACAAAATGCAAAAACTCAGAACTTTTAGGGTTAACTGAACTTTATTAAGACGAGAAAGGTATAGGGAGGTTTTATGTTAGTTGTTTTGGATAGTAAGTATTCTACTCGTGAATTCACTAAAAAAATAAAATTTTCTCACCAGTCATTCTACCATTTTTCGTAAAAAATACATAAGGTAATGTTTCCAACTCCTTCTTAGGTGGTAAAACAACTCCACACCCAAAAACATCCCCATCCTTCCAAGAAGTTGTTTGATATAATCCATTAAAAGTTGCTGGACCGTTTAACATAAACATTACCGGAATGCCATCTTTATTAAAACCAATTCCTGCATAACAACTGAAAATAAAAAATAATTCTTTTGAAGAAATTGTTTTGTTTTTAGGATTATTTTTCATATAAATTTAAAATTTTTTGATATCGATTCATTCATTAGGTCTCGTAAAAATGTCATTATTTTTGCTGTTTTAAAGATGATGTTTAATTTATGATTAAAAATAGTTTCACAACTTTTGACGTTTTTTTAGATTTTTTAAATCTACATACAATTTGTCTTTCACATCTTCCAACATTTTAATTTCAAAATAAAATAGAGAATAATGACAACAAAACCCTGACGCTTTTGTAAATGAATTTTGTGCATAAAAACCAATTACAAGGTCTGAAACAGGTTTGTATTATAATAATTATAAAATTTTTTGTAGATATTCAAAAGCTGTAAAACATTAGATATAAATTCTTTAGTTTACAATAGAACCCAGAATTTAAAAAAATTTTTGGTTAGATATTCAGGGATATTCAGGATAACAATTCAAAAGCTGTAAAACTACGTAAATTCACAGTAAAAACGTGTTTTTTTAACTTTCTGTAAATCATCTGAACATCTAAAAGGTTTTGTAAATTACATACTACACACGTAATATAGAGTATCAACTTGTGTCGAACCCAGAATTCGAAATTTCTGGATCACTCCTGGTTTTTGATGAAAAATTCGGCACATAACCCACCCCAGATGGAGACTTTGACGAGCTTTCGAATGATATAGTACAATCAATATTACTACATAGTATGCTCGAGATTATTTATATGCTCGACCACAACTTTCTGACCAAACCAAAAATCCTCAAATTTAAGGATTTATTAAAAAAACTAAAGAATATATATCCAAAGTTTTAAAGCTTTTGTGAATATTTTTAAAAAAATTCAAAAATTATTTTTATAAAACGAACTTCTTCATAAAAGATTAATAAAAATTTTACCTTTATCTTCCACCGAATGATAGTTCACTATTCCATCCTCCTGAACTCGAATAAAACTTTGCCCCTTATTGCAAGTTCCGTCAGATAAATTTGAATTGATGCATTTATCTCCACAACATGTCTGGTAATTGCTAATCTCATTAATTTTATTTGTAATTGGTACATAACGCTGAAAGATTTTTATAATTTAATTAAACTTATATAGGCTGATAGAAATATTATGGACCTCTAAATATCGAAAAAAAAGAGGGACACAAACCCGACTCTCCAGACTCATATAATTAGAACTTCATTAATCGGGCAAGTTAATATGACAGACACCCAATTTATTTTTAACAAAACTTACAACAAGTTTCAAATTCAAAGCAAGCTCATTTTTACATTTTGTCAGTTCGCAATTTGCAATTTGTAATTCAGCAGTTAAATGATTATTTTGACGAAGTAAAGCAGCCTTTTCACCTGTCGGCACTTGGCAAGCATTTCTGTAATTCTCCAATTCTTTCACATTTAAATATTTTTCTCCTTTTAATCTTGCATTTTCATCATTAATTTTTTCCAATTTTTTAGCCAATTCATTTTTTTCATTTAACATTGCTTTGGATGAATTTTGATAGTCTCCCTTCAATTTGTTTAATTCAGTCACTACTTTTATATGATCCTTCTTAAGTTGAGCCATTTCCTCCGAAGTTAATTCACTTCTTTTCTTATATTCTTCTTTTTCAACATTTGATTTCTCCAACTCAACATTTGTTTTCTCCAACTCTTGAGTAAGTTTTACATTTTTATTAATTTCCTCTTTCAACGAATTTTGCTATAAATTGAAATTTTATTTAAACTAGGTATTTTTCCGTCCTGCCACACCCCCTTAAATTAATGCTCAAAATGTCATGTACAATAAAAGGTGCTGAGTCGAACAGGACCTTTTTTCTCGGAGATGCCAGTGGACCGAGATATAGTGCTCGAAATGGTCAGAACCCAGAGGGCCATTTTGGGGTAAAAAATTCGAGAGCTCATCGAGATAAGTCGAAAGACACAAGTAAACTAAATCTGATTTGATTGGACCGAGATACAGGCCTGTGAATATTGAAGGATCACAGCGTATCTCGGTTTTTTCGGATAAAAATAAGTTTGTACAACCAATAGCTCATTCGAGAAAACTCGTCGAGCCGAGTCAAATGACACAAAAATCACCGTGATTGAACAAGTTTGGACATAGTGACGATACAAAAATGAACACCCATAGAAATTTACTTGGTCCATTTTTGTATCGTAACTTATCTAAACCTGTTCTTCACGTTGATTTTGGTGACATTCGATTAAACTCGTCGAGCTCTTTCGGATGAGATTTTAACTGTATACCATAAATATCCTAATAGAAGCCCATGCTCTATTATAAGCCCACCCGACGGGGGTATTGAAAAATATAAGGGCTTATATTAGGATAGTTACGGTATTTGAATTTTTACCCCAAAAATGAGCCTACTCCCCCATATGATTTTTGACCCTTTTGATCTCTATATCTCGGACCACAGGCATCTCGGTAAAAAATATATATAGAATTTATTACCTTATACATGACATTTTGAGCATTAATTTAGGGTCATTAATTTGGGTGGGTTACTACTTTATTTATTGTGTTTAGAAATATACCAAATCAGATTTATCCTTAATTAACTTCATTTCCAAATTTGTTTGCTCAATTTCCAACTAAAAACATAATAATTTAAAAAATTAAAGTTTTTAAAATTAACCTCCAACGTTCGTCTACGCTTCAAGTTATTATTTTGTTTAGAATTTGAAGCAGAAGTATCATTAAAAGAATTTGAAGTCGATGTATTCCCACCCTTTTTTAATAATTTAGAAGACATTTGAAGAGAAAAGTAATAGAAAACTGAATGAGAGTAACAGAAAATAAAATATTCTTTGTCAAATATAAACTCTAAATTAAATGAAATTAAAATTATTGATCAAAAAGTTGTTTTTTATTCAAAAATTTCAAACTCATTCACATTCGAAAAACCCCGCTTAAATATAAAAAAGATATACTCGCAATTCGTCTCACATTAGAAATGTCCAATAGACTAAAAAACTCATTTCTCTCACTTAAATTAAAAATAAAAGATATTTTCATCGTAAAATCTCATGAAAGAGCTATAGCTCTACAAAAGACTCTAAAATTAACTAACAGATCAGGAATAATAAAATAACAGCAATATTTTATCATAAATATGTATGTAGACCCATCGTCGAATTCTGCTCATTAAATTTGTTATCCAAAGGGGAGCCCACTGCAGACTAGCAAGGGTCATAGCGGAATTTAAATTTTGGTTAAGTGGCTAAGAGCGCTGACTACAAAATCGTTTAAAAATAGGTCGCGGGTTCGAACCTTTTCATGGTTAATTAATATTTTCCTATTAGATAAGTTAAATAAAACATAAAAGAAACATTTTAAATAATATTTTAAGTGTGTAAAATTTTTTTTAAACTTTTAAAAATAAAAACGGGAAAATTTAAAAAAAAAGCCGGCTGTTATTTTTTAATGTAATTTTTGCAAATTTGGATTGATTTGGCCAAATGAGGTGTCATTCGAAAGAGCTCTAAAAAATGAGTCGAACTAGATGTGAACGAAGTTGATCCGACATTCCGGGACCGAGTTACAGTCTCCCGAAAGTTGAAAACCACAGGAGGGCCCCTAGCCGATTTTGGTGACAAAAATTCAAATATAAAAATTATAGCTCATTCGAAAGAGCTCGTCGAGCTGAGTCGAATGACACTAATCATGGGGTGCGGAAATGCCTGTGGACCGAGATACAGGTCCCTAAAATTCCGAGTTTCGGGGTCGAAAATTCGACTATACAAATTATAGCTCATTCGAAAGAGCTCCTCGAGCTGAGTCGAATGAGACCAAAATCTCCGTGATTAGTTTACGACTTCACCTCAATATAGCACAAAAGCGGTTATTCCGGCGAAAATACAAATTGCCTGTAACTTTTTTCAGAATGTTAGAATCGAGCTGATTTTAGTGGCATTCGAATCAGCTCGTCGAGACGAATCGAATAGTATATGTTACGACCAAAACTTTCAAGATTTTTAACGAAAATTTTGCTTTTTTTGCCAAAAAATTTGCCAAAAATTGTTAATGCGTGAATTTTGTGAAAAATGCGTAAATTTTTCTAATTTTTTTTCCAAATGATTTTTTATAATATGTTCTAACAAATTGTTAGACAAAATCAAAATCTGTTAGAAAATAAGGGAGATATTACATTTCAAAGTTGGTTGAATCAACTTGCATCCAATTTTGTAAAATTAAAGTAAAAGACTATGGAAAAACAAGAGAAAATTAGAGAAGAAGAGATAAATTTGGCTCTTTTTTAATTCGTTGGCGTTCTGCCCCAATAAATGACATTTGTTTCGCTATGACCCTTGCTAGTCTGCTGTGGGAGCCATATTAAAAATTAGTAAGACGAATTGAGAAGTTTTGTTCAGCGGAACGCATCTAGATTGACCAAATTGAGACGTAGCGATAGATTTGTTTTTGTATGGATTGACGAAAATAAGTTTGGCGAAATGTATTTTGGCATTAATAATTTAGCGAAATGATTTTATTTTTACGTTTTTTCGGAAAAATTTTCTTAGTTTACGGTTTTTCAAGTAGAGGTCGGAATTTTGAAAAAATCGGGACCGGGTCCGGGAAACGAGTTCTGAAATTTGACCGGGAGGGACCCGGATCGGGAAAACGGGAATTCCCGTTCCCGGTTTCATCCCGGTTGCTTCTAAAAAACCGGGAAAAGGGACCCGAAAACCGGGAAACGGGTCCCGGACCCGTTCCGATCTCTATTTTCAAGTGTTTGTAAATTTTTTTATTTTTTTCTTCATTTTAGTTAGTCTAAAAGACATATTTTAATTAAAAAAATTCTTCAATGGATTCCGACGTAATTAAGGCTTTTAATAAATTGGTTGGTATAAATTATCTAATTTTTTACGAAGTTTTATTTTAAAGCTTGTCTCAATGCAAGAATGTAAAGGAGGTATTGTTAGCAAACAAAAAGTTGTTGATATTACAAAAGCTGCAATGAATGCTGTCAGATATTTTAAACATGTTGTTTTTATTGTTGAACGATATTTGGTTAAGGTAAAAGAAAAAAATTTTTTGGGGGCATTTTTTAGAAGAGTTGGCGTTTCTGCTAGTTTATTAATTAGACTAGTTAAAACTGAGTCTGTTAACGCTATAAGATTTTTAGTTGTTAAGTGTTCTTTGTTTGATAAAAATCGAGATCACTAAAGTCCGTGAGCTTGGACTAATTTTTGAATTCACTGGATCTAGCAAAATTTTAGGAGGCTAGGGTAAACTTATGGGTACTTGTGGGTTATCCCTACGGACTTTTTGCGGACTTTTTTTTGCGGACACAAATGTAAAGAATGTCAGTTTCTCTCTTCCTCTCCCTATGCCATTGCAAACCAATCAAACAGGATTAAATGTAGTGTATAAAATACATACAAGCAAATTGTTTGGACAACGTCCAAAGGACGTACAGTTTGGAATTTGGAGAGTAATTTAGCCGAGTTTATGTGAAGAAACATAATTGGGGGAAAAGGCGTTTTTGACATATTTTCCTTTTCAACTAAATGTATACATCAAATTTAATCCTTCACGATTGATTAGTTGTCTTTTTCCCCAATTATTTTTCCGTACTTGCAGAAAGAACATAAATGAATCTAAATAACCCATCATCATGTTGGATGGTGGCACAGTCGGTTGTGCTTCGGTCTGGGCTCATTCCATGATGGTTCTATTCCATCTCCCATCCAAAGAATTTTTCCACAGCATGAACAGCGTATTTTAAATGAGGGAGAAAGAAACACTACCATTCTTTACAATTATGTCCGCAAAAAAAGTCAGCAAAAAAAGTCAGCAAAAAGTCCGTAGGGATAACCCACAAGTACCAACTTATGATACTTAAAAAATTTTCTAGTCTGGGTACTTTTTGAGATATCATTTAATATTTTAACTTAAAATTTTATCCGCAAATATAATCCGCAAATTCTGCGGCTTTTGTGTTTTAAGAAGGTTCTCTGGCTATTAATCTTTAACTCGTTCCCATTAAATTCCTTCGTTAGTATTATTAAATTTTAATAAAATTTATTTTTTAGTGTCGCCAAGAATTCAAAATCCCCGCTTTATATGTTATGGATTCAATTTTACGTCAAGCAAAAAAGCAATATAAACACAAAGGTTTTTGGGGTATTCTAAACTTTTAAAAATTTTAATTTTAGATGTTTTTGCACCCAGATTTGCTGTTAATTTGTCTACTACGATTAATAATGTGCTTGATTGTGATCCTACTGACAGAGTATTTTTTAAATTTTTCTTTAAATTTTGCCAAATTTTGCAAAAATGAAATATTTTCTGGGTTATTTTTCTGATGGTTTTTTGCAGGTTATTTTAGAAAGATGGAATAATTTGTACTGAAAAGCTGCCATTCTTTTTTACAATTAGCTTTTGGCCTTTTTTGAGAATTTTTTGGTTGAGAAAAATTTTCCCTATTTTTTCTGTTTTGGTCGAAGACAGGTCCATTTGTGGTTGTTCCCAATTTATTTTTTGTCTGTTTCTATTTGATTTTTCAATTTATCTCCTAAATATTCCGCAATTTTTTTAGTTGAAAGTTGTTCGTGTTGTTAATTTATGGCAAGCTCATCAAATCTTTGCTGATGATGTAATTGAACCAATATTAAATAAATGTCAAGCATCTGGATTAGGTTTTGATTTTATTTATTTTTTAAACTTTTGTTATAATTTAGACGTTGAACCAGCAAAAGTCGAGCGCTTAGTTAAAGGTTTACTTTTTTTGGTAATTCTTCGGTTCGTATTCCCCCTTCTTTTTTCTGACCATTTTTTTCATTTTTCCTTACCTCTCTCCCTTATTTTTCATAAGGCAAGTACTATCAAAAAGGATTATGAATGTATATATGCATGAGAAAGTTATTGAAAAATTTGTTTACATCATTCAATAACCAATATGTATGGAGCAACTAAAAATTTTTAACATGATTGATTTGGGTGACAAACTCCGACTTAGCGACAACGATTTCGATGCTTGGCTCGAAGAGCTTGGCCTTCTTTATGGTAAACGACATATGAAGCATGTGGTGACAGAACAACTATATGTAGATTTGGAAAAAATTGTAAAAAGGGTCAACTATATCTCTGTTCATAATCGTTTTTGATAGTACTTGCCTCATGAAAAATAGAGGAGAGAGGTAAGGAAAAATGAAAAAATGGTCAGAAAAAAGAAGGGGGAATACGAACCGAAGAATTACCCTTTTTTTATTTAATTTTTTCTTTGCAACTTTAATCCCGGTGTAATTTAAATTTTAAAAAACCTTTTACTTAAAAAATTTTTTTAAAGGTGAAAAAGCAGATATGCAACTTTATCAACAATCAAATTTATTCAATACAAGCGGCAATTCAATTAAATCTGAAACTTTGCCAACTTCAAAAATTTTAACGCCACATATAGGCAATATAAATACTGTGAATGTTTCAGCTTCTGGGCAGAGTTTAGATGTTTGTTTTTTTATATCTTTTATATGATTAAAATTTTAGTTTTCCGAACAATTTTTAAACTGGGTTTTATAGAGTGGACAAAGATATTATAGTAATTTTTTGGATAATCACTTTATTAATTTTGTGATGCTTATTTTCAATCCTTTCATTTTCTTAATTTTTAAAATTATTTTTAGGAACGTCTCTCACAATTCTCTCGTCAAAAACTTGGTATTGGTGGACGTTCAAATTCAGTTACAAGCAGTACAACACTTAAAACTGAATTGGGGGTATTTAAAATTTTTTTTAAGTTAATTAAAATTTTGTGAAGATTGTTAATAAATTAGGCTGTTGTAACCAGTTATTAACCGTTATTTGTGGTTTTCGGTTTGATGGGCCCTCGATTTCGGCTAATTGCCAAAACATCGGTTTCGGATCAGTTAACCGGTCGTTACCATTGAGCCTTCATGTTAATAAGTTCTACCAAAAACCGATGACGGAGTGTTAACCCCCTTTGAATTTTCCTTCTCATATCGATAATTTTTTTTCATTTCTTTTTAAGCCTCGTACTCCTCCGTTAGAAGACCATGATCATCGTCAACTACTTTCTTCACTCTTTTCTGACACAAAAAAAGAACCTTCTACCCCAATTCAACTTCCTCCGGCTAATAACAATTCTGGAAGTGGATTAAGTGGTGCTGAAGTGATTTCATTAGTTCAACCTTTGGGATTTTCTTTGGATCATGTAGAGGTTGTGGCTGGTTTACAAAGATTTTTGGAAGAAAGAGTTATTGAGCAAATTGAAATGGAAAAGAGGAGACAAGGAAATATTAAGGTTTGGAAATTTTAATTTGGGAATTCAACATTAAAAAAGGACCTTTTTGAACTAAGGATGGTCAAACATTTTTCAACAGATTTTGCTTAAAAATTAGGATTACTTAACTATTTCTATTTACTTTAGAGTTTAAGGGCAGGTTATCCTTTCTTATGATATGTATTAAAAAAAATTTTTTTTAATTCTCAAAATCGTTAAAACATGTTCGATTTTTCTCACATTGATTAGTTTTTTTTATAATTTCTTCTAAAAATGGATTTTTTGAATAAAAAAGTTCCTTTATTTTAAAGAATCTCCTGTCTCGCGATTTTGACTATTCCGATGAAGAGGATGAAGGTGGGGGCGGCGGTCATCATCACAATGGCACACACACATCGACAGGGTCACCCATAACCCTTTCAAGTGTTTCTAAGGAAAAACTTTTAAATCTTGCAAGATCAGTAGTTGCTGAACCAGCACATCAAGAAGGTTTTTTCTTTTTATTTTTACTATTAGTAAGTGACATTCACGAACTCCAAGTAGAGCTAAAACTTTGAACATTCATAACTTCTCATTCTCGGGGTCTGGGATGATATTGGCAATAGATTTTCTCACATCTTGTGAGTGTCCCTCATATTTGTTTGGGGCTTTTGTGAGATTTAAACGGAACAAGATCATTTATTTTTATTTAATTCTATCTGCATACCTTAAAACAGTCCATGGATATACTTATTAATAGTAAAATCAAGGTGAAAAAGTATTATTTTTAAAAAAATATTATTTTTAAGGAATTTTCTTTCCGAATTTTCCGTCTAAAGATTCAAAAAATTCTTTAAATTAATAGCAATTATTCTATAAAATCATTTTTTGTTTTTGTCTATTTTGAAAAATATTTCTTAAGAAATGAGAAAATTGGTGGCTTGTGTAAATAAAGATGTTGGCATTGGTTCACCGGCTGCAAAAATGGCCCTTCCTCAACAACAACTACAACAACCATTGACTTTTCCAATGCCAAACTTTTCTTTTCCACCGCCAAGCTTTTCAAACGGAACTCTTTTTCCTGGGTTATTTCTGCAGGTTTTATAAAAATATTTTTATTAAAAAAATTTTTTAAGCCTCCAACTTCGTCCATTGCTAATTTTCAAACTACACCGACTTCAATGTTCCCCATGTCAACGCAGCAATTTCCACAACAACAACAACAAACGCATCGGGACGATAGAAAAGAGGCTGAAAACTATCGCAATGATCGAAACGATTATTCTAGAGGTGACAGAAGGGATAGCCGTGCTAGTGGGTCTTCACGGAAACGGAGTAGATGGTAAGAGAATAGAGCTGGGTTTTAATGATTGGACTAGAGATAGAGCATACTTGGGATAACATATGGATGAGTACTTAATTTTTAAATTTTTAAACAGGTCACCAGTTGATGAAAAAAGTCGCAGTTCTAGACGTGATAATGATTCAACACGACATGACGAAAAATCATCCTCTCACCGAAGACGAGAGAATGATGAAAGATCTGAAAGATCCTCACATAAAAGAACTCGAAGCACATCACCAAGAAAAAGTATTTTTTGAATTTATTTAAAAAGCAATATTTTTCAGATGATCGTGAACGCAATAGCGACAAAGAAAAGGATCGTGAACAAATGATGAGAGATCGTAGACGTATGGGATTACCCGAAAAACTGAAATTTGAACATGTTCTCAGTAAGGATTTTTATTTTATAAAAAAGGCTCGATGAGTTGGATCCGCTATAAACACGAATGGTTTTCGTGGGGGCATGAATGAACTGTGGATAGGGACCTATTTTTAAGCAGATTTTAGTGAAGATATTTGCTTGGTATGTAGTATTCGATATGCCTACTAGTTAAGAATCTATATGGAACAACAACCTTCCCTTTTAAAAAATAATCTTAACTAAAATAATATTTAAAAATTTTAATAAAAGATTTATTTTCTCAAAAAAACCTATTTTGTTAGTTGCATCTCGAACCTTATGGTTTGGCCGTATTCCTACATCAGCTAATGAAAATGATATTATTGAATCTGTAAAAGAAATTGGTACACCAGAAAAAATAATTATCGTTAATACACGTGGTTGTGCTTATGTGACAATGCCTGACAGAAAATTGGCTTTTAAAATTATTGATAGAATGGGAAAAACAATTCAAGTTTTAAAGAAAAATATAAAGGTTTTTTATTTGATTTTTTAATATTAAAAATTTTTTAAAAGCTTGCTTGGGCAACAATTCCAAGCATTAAAGAAGAACAAAAATTTATGGATAAATGGGATTGTGAACTTGGTTTTGCCGAGATTCCTTTTTCAATTTTGCCTGATGGAAATTTGGATAAATTAATGGAAGGAGCTTGGTTAGAATTATATACTTTACCTGAATTATTGAAAGGTTTTTGTTTTATTTTCTATTTTAATTAGGCGAGAATTTTGGTCCTCGGTCCATATCCTGAGTTTTTTTTATTCAAAAAAGGGGACAGTGCTTTCCAAGAACCACCTTCATCAAAATCTGAACAGTCAGAAGACGACTGTGTGGGATCATTAAGTTTTTTAAGCCGGGAAAACCGAAGGGGTATCTTCCTCTCCTTTTTCTTACCTCTTAATCGATTGTAGTTGTGGTATTTTTACGTTTAAAAAATTTTTAAATTTTAAGATCGTTATACAAACACTGGAATTAAACAAATACAACAACAATTACAAGCAATTCAATTGCCACCAGCAGGTTTAACACTATTGCCTCCACAAATGGCAGCTGGATTACCTGCTACAGCTGGACAGTTAATGCCTGGTTTTACTTTTGTACGTTTTTTTAAAGTTTTTAAAATAAACATTGAATTTTATTTTAGTAAGAAATTTTTTATTACTTAAAATTAGTTAACCTTTTTTATTTTTCCTACCTTTTATTCGAGGTAATTTCCATATGCATTTTTAATTTTTGAATGCTATTTTTAGATAGTACCTTTAAAAATTATTTTCTTTAAAATTTTTAACTATATATTTTCTTTCCGGTTTTCGAAAATCCATCCATATCTTTGAGGTTCACTCACATTTGCGGACCGATATCTGCGGGTAAAACCAAGTAAGAAAGTATTGAAATTGGAACGGCTATTGAATTGATTTCCGCAAATTTCGGTCCGCAAGTATCGCTCTACATATTTTTAATTTTATTTTTTCCCATCCATTCTATTTTTCCCTTTTTATCATTTCTAATCAAAACAATTTATTTATTAATATAATTAGCCTGCTGCTTTAACCGCTGCAATGTTTCCTCAAATGGCTGCAGCTGCTTCTGGTTTAATGGCATTTCAACAACAACAACAAGCAAATAACCAAAATCTTCCTCAACAAAATACAGCAACAGATTCTACACCATCTAATAATAATGAAAACAATAATAATAGTAATCCATTAAGTACAACAACTACACAATTTCCTCCAGTATTTCCAAATCAGGTTTGAAATTTTTTTTAATTATTAAAATACCCTTGTAATTCTATAGGCAATTCAAATGCCACCTCCACATATGTTGAATCCACCAAATCAACAAATTCGATTTAATCAACAAAGATTTAGAGGACCATTTCATGGAGGTAGATTTCCTGGCGGTGGTGGTAGATTTCCTGGAAGGGGAAGAGGCGGAGGAAGAGGTTTTGTTAATAGAGGTGGATGGAGAGGTGGTGGAAGTAGTGGTGGAGGATTTGATGGAAGTAGTAATAGCGGAGTAAGTGGAGGTAATAATGGTGGTAGTAGTGGAGGAGGTGGTGGATGATTCAATTCTAAAAATAAATATTTGATACATAATTTAAAAAATATGTTTGACTATTTTTGGTTGGTACAAGTAAGAGAGTTGACTTTTGGTCAGAAAAAGATACGTTTGTTTTTAGGGTTTCCGACTTTTTTGACGATCTCCTTCTATAATGATCTTGAAAAATTTTTTTTAGAAAATATATACTCGCTAGAGATCGGTCTGAATCCAGAGTCCAGATCCAGGCATTTTTGTCGTCCTGGATTTTCTCTGGATCCAGAATCCTGTCCAGGTTACTAACCTAAATCCAGATCCAGACTTCTTGAAAATACCGATCTCTAATACACATACTCTCCTAATAGTACCAACTATTATTTTTTTGATTGTTATCCTTAGAATCTGCACACACACAAACAATGTTTATTATTTTATTTTCTCTGAATTTTATCCTAATTTTTTTTTAATTATTAAGAATAAATGTGAGGTATTTTTGTTTATTATTTTAAATTAATTTTTATGGTTATTTTAACCTTTTATTTTTTAAATTAAGACAATTTTTTAAATTAATTTTAAAATAATCTTTGAAAAATTTTTTCGATTTCCTATTGCTTCTTTTTGCCAATTTTTCGTTTAAAATGGCAAAAGCAATAGGAAATTGATTAGGTAATCAGAATTTTGAAAAGTAGGGTAGACTTTTGTAATTTTATTTGGTTGGGTATCGGAGAATTTTAATATGTGGTGGTTTACTTAACGAAAAGAGGAAAGGTCGAAGAGATCAAGACTGAAACTAGGGGGCCGCTCTGCCCCCCCCCCCTTCCGAAGGTTTTTCTTACGGGCCTGGAGGAAATATCCGGCAATTTCCTATAAAATCTAGTAACATACCTTCGTTTCTTTCTAATGGAATTGGATGAATAGAATTTTTTAAAAAAATTTTTACTGATGTGAGCTAAACTATTGTAAGATTAGTCGATGATTGTTTCTTTTTGTAACGAATTAAAAATTGTGAAGACCTGCATTTGAGGATTCCAAAAAATATATTGAGAAGATCATAAACATCATTTCATCATTCCCAACTTTTTGTTTAGTTTATAGGCATTGAAAAAATTTTTTTAGTTAATTTAAATGTTCAAACCTTTAAATAATTAAAAAAATATTTTTTTAGATTAGTAGAAAAACTTTTTTAAAATGCCAAATACAAGGAGTTATGCTGCTAGAAAGCGTTTGATGGAAATGGAAAGTGAGAGGTTAGAAAAAAATATTTTTATTTGACTAATTAAAAATAGGAAAATTAAAAATTATTTTTGAAAGTAAATTAGAGGTTATTAAAAATGTTTTTGTAAAGTCAGAATTTCTTTTAGATTTTTTCAGTATATTGGGTAAACTAAGGGGTTTAGGATGCTCCTTTTTTTCCTCTGCAGAATAGTCGGCCTCTCTTCCCTCATTAATTTAATTAATTCCATTGAATAATAAAGAAATGAAGAGGAAGGGAGAAAGTCTGCCCATTCTGATCAAAATAAGGAAAAACAGGGAAACTGGGAAGAAAAAGGGGAACCCTAAACCTTGGTTTACCCAGAATATTTTCTGATTTATTCGAAATTGTCCACTCAGAAAGGATTCGAAATTTTTAGAATTATCAGAAAATTGATTTTTAAAAAATCAGAAAAAAATCAGAATTTTTTGGAAATTTAAAATGCTTCTGAAAGAGCATTTAAGTTCCTTTTGCTTCGAAAGTAATCTTTGAATTTTAATTTCTGATTTTATTTTCTAAAAATATGTAGTAGAATTTACATTAATAAAATAATTTATAAAAATTAATTTTAGATTATTGAAAAGATGTTGAAATAATTTTTATTCTTTTCCTCTACTCTATCCTCCCTTCGATTTTTTCCCCAAAAAATATTTTTTGGCGTTATGTTTTTTTTTCAAAAAATTTTTAAAATTTTTCAAAATTTTTAAAATAAAAAAAAAAATTTTTTTAGACTTGCTAGTAACTCAAATTCTCCAACAACTAGCAGACCCTCAAAATTTAAAAAACGAAAAAGATATAAATATCATATTGAAGAAACTCCAAAAGCCATTGAAGCGCAACAAAAATTAAAAGAAATTAAACCTGATGAAATTTTGCTTCCATCAATCAATAATATCGAATTAAATTTGGATAAACAACAAAATCAAAAAATCGATTCCCTGGCTTCTTTAAGTCAAGAAAATATTGCCAAACAAATTTGTGCTTCTACAAACACAAAACAAGTTTTGTATCAACAACCGAGTTTTCAGGTTTTTCTTTTTTGGACCTATGGCCAGTAACTGACTGTATTTACTGATTAAGACCCCTTCTCTAAATTTAGCCCCCTTTGTAGTAGAGCCCCTGGGGTTTAATTTCAGAAAATGCGGTAATTAAAAAAGCGATTTGTGGTGGAGTCGTTTCGACGCCTATATTGTCTGGGCATGAGATGTTTGGGAATATACCCACCTATACGAACCTTTAAATTTTTTACGACGAAATGAAACAAAAATTTTAGAAAAATGTTTCGAAACTTAACTTTTAAAATTTAAAAAAAAAATTTTGCCTTCGATATTTAATTAAAGCTTGGCAATTTTTCGTTTAACGGGATTATATGTCTCTCTTCAGAGTGTTTGTGTTGTTGACTTCTTTCGTTCTGAAAAAACGCAGAAAACTGACTAGTGGTCGGCTGATAATAATTTAATCCCTTTTTAATCGATTTAATATCCATAAGGAAAATAAAGAAAAAATTAGATAAAGAAAAAAATTTTTTTCACTTATTTTTTTAGCAATGTTTCTTTTCGAATAATCAGCCAAAACCTTTAAATTCTCAACTTTTTCAACCTCCACCACTTTCAAATTGTCAAAATATGCACGGAAATAATTCAAATAATTCTGGTAGACCTCCAATGAAAAGGCCTCATTTAATGCATCAACCTAGACATCATTTGCAGCATCCACAACAACATAGAGGGGTTGGGCAAGTTCAACATGTATTTTTTAAAATATTTTTTTTTGGAAATTATGGGGGTATTTGTAGGAAAATTTTTTAGAATAATTTAATTTTTTTTAATAAATTCGAGAAAGTCCAATGAATTGATAATTTAGCTAATTTAAATTTCCGAGAAGGGAACCTATGTTTTTGATCAACTTTGGTCCTGCTCAGAAATAAGGTTCGTGAATCCTGTGAAATTCATATTACGAATTGTCAAACTTTCGAAGCTTATTGTTTGAAAACCATCTGTTTTTGAGCGGATGTTTTTTTGATATTTTACTTGAGGGCCTTGACGACTTATTATTCTTTAAATCTTGGGGGTTTTTAAAAAAATTTCCCCTACTATATAATTTATTATACTTTCCCCTACATTTGTTATTTTCTTTTTATTTTTTAAATCTTAAATCTTTAACAGCGTTTGCCACATCCTAAACAAATTCCTCCTGGTCCTTCTATTCCTCAACAACAACCGCAGCAACAAATACCTCCTGGGAATAAACAGGCTATTTTTCCGCAGTGTGCAAATGATGTTCTTGTTCATGTATTTTTTATTATTAAATATTAACTCATTTGAAAGGGCTTTGTATGAGTTGAGTACCTGAAATCTCATCCTTTTTGTATATTATGTAGAGATTTCATGTTTTTTCTCTTTTTTTGGACCCATAAATATAGGACCTATAAACTTGAAAATTCCCTGTTTTTGTTTGGATAAATTGGTCATTGAATTTTGATTTTCTCTTATTTTTTGTTGTGTTTGACTCAACTTTAAGAGCTCTTTCTAATAGTTTTGAGGATTTTCAATTTTATTTTTAGGTCGGCGATTTTGTCAAACAACACGGCCAATTTCCAAATAAAAGTTGGAATCGTGTGAAAATAAAAGAATTACAAAATTTGTTGGATCAGGATCTTTTTTGTTTGTCTACAGATTTGAGAAATTCTCGTCTCAATCCTTTACAAAGTTTTAAATTGTTGGGAATTGTTTGTAATTATTTTGATAAGGTTGTTTTTTAATTTTTATTTGGGGGGAGGTTTTAGGGAAAAAGACTACCTATGGCCTTCCTAATTTTTTAAAATTTTCGACTGCGGCGTTAAAAATCAAAATTTCTGGGCCTTCGGCGCCAAAAATTCGGCGCAGAAAAATTTTCCCTTCTTGGCCCCTTCCCTGAAAAATCCTGGTTACGGGCCTGCTTTGTGGTAGACTGGCCTGCTCTCGATGATACTATCCTTTTCATTAGGGGGAGGTGCCAGTTTGATTCCTTTTGTTTTCCTTTTATTACTTTTTTTTTTGGTTATTTGGTTATATCAGGATTTGGTTATTTGGTTATATCATTTTTTTTTTGGTTATTTGGTTATATCATTTTTTTTTTTGGTTATTTGGTTATATCAGGATTTGGTTATTTGGTTATATCATTTTTTTTTTGGTTATTTGGTTATATCATTTTTTTTTTGGTTATTTGGTTATATCAGGAGGAGGCGTCAGTTCGATTCCTAAAATTTGGTTATTTGGTTATATCAGGAGGAGGCGTCAGTTCGATTCCTTTCGTTTTCCCTTTACTACCTTGTGATTTTTATAAATTTATATTCCACTCTTATTTAAATTTATTTAGGAAGTATCGAAAGAAGCCGATCCAAAACTTCGTTATTTACATTTTGATATTATTTTTTGTGGCCGTGAGGGAGAGGTTTTATTTTTTCTAATTTTTTTTTATTATTCCCTCCTTTTTTATAGCCTTTACTTCACGAAGCTCGTGTTCAATTTCTGATCAAAATTTGTTCGCTAGCTGCCCAATTTCCTGTGTATGGATTGTTTGACCATGTTGGCCAATGGCTTGGAAAAGTATCTTTTAAAGAAATTTTTAAATTTGGGTTTTTATTCATAAAAATAGAAGAGACCATTCTTAACTATAAAATGAAGATTTAACATTCTAGTAAGACGAGTCCTTTACAAGGGAAAGTTGCAAGGTGTCCGACCTAAAGACTGTCGAGACCGGGCTCATTCGATAGAGAATGTGCTCTTTCTAGCAAGGATTTTGTACCGTTTTTGCCTGTTCTTTGATCTGGCCAAGATATGACCCTCCAAAGTTTTTTTGTGAATAGTTTGGGATAGTCTCTTTTAACTGAAAATCAAAAAAAATATTTAATAAATTTATTTAATATTTCATTTAAGGTAACCAGTGATGAATTAAAACGTAGTTATGCTGAACAAATTGTTTCTGAATTGGTAGAAGGTTTCATTTTTGGTCCTGAAAAATATAATTTGGTATGATTTAATTTATTTGAGCTGAAAAAATTGCTCATTGTTAGGCAACTCCCTAACTCATTTCAGTGACATTTAATCCCAAAAATTTTTAGCTTAATTTTTTCTTTTTTCTGTACGAACAGACTTTGTAATTTATAATGAGTTGTATCTCAAATTGATGGTATCGCTTATTAGGCAACTCCCCAACTCATTTAATCCCTAAAATTTTAAAAATTTTTATTTTTTCAGTACGAACATTTACTCCCAATTGTTAATTATTCCTTTGAATTTTGTGCTAATTTTATCGTCTTTTCAATAAGTAAAGAAACGTTAGGCCCAGTTATGGCTTTAATTATTGGTGAATGGTTATGTCACCGTGTTGATCAATTTTTGCGTTATTTAAGTTTTTGTACGCATTTGAGTCTTCCTTTTTGTGGACAGGTAAAATTTAAAAGAATTTTTGAATAATTTGTTTTCTGTTTTCGTTATAAGATACTTGTGGTTAAAAGATTTTATCTTATAATGGGGAAGTCTTAAAGAGGGAGGTATCGTTTGGGAATTCTTCACTCCCCTGCACACACCCAGTGACCAACCAAATCAAAAATCTGAGGTTTATCTAATCTGGGGGTATTCTAATTGATAGGTCTGTATAAAGAACTTTGAGGGCATATTGACAAATGAATTTTTATATTTGACAAGTGAATTTAAGAATATAGAGAGTTACCTTCCGAATAATTTTATTCTTTTTGAAATGTCCACAAATTTTATTAACACCCCATTCATAAAACCTAAAAATGTTTTAAAAATTTTTTTAAAGAAATTTGATTTGCTTGTTCGTTATGATTGCTCTCCTATAGCCTCGAAAGAGAACGACGATACCCATTATAGATTACATTATATTTTAATAAAAATAATAACTGCTTGGAGGTATGGATTTACACCTACACAAGTATTTTTGAAATTTATTTTTGAAATAAAAATTAATTTTTAAGCAACAAAAACGTCCACAACTCGCCACTCCAAATAATTCACAACAAACATTTCAACAGCCTATGGTTAATTGTTTGACTGAAATATTTCAAAGGTTTGAAGAAAAATGTTTTTATTTAATATTCTATAATTAAATGTTTGGTGTAAATCAGGGAACGTGAATGAATGAAAAATAAATTTCCGATTTCGTGTCTCGGTATTAAATAGTGTTTCACCGGGAGTTCTCGGATTTTTTGGTTCCGGTTCCGGCCTTCAGTTCCGGTTCCGGCCAAATTTGCGGTTCCGGCGAAACAAAACCTAGTACAAAACCTTTTCCTGGTGCACATGAAGGTATTATTTTATGATGGTTCGACTCCATAATGTTTTGTTTATTTTTTAAATTCTTCTGAAATTTTTCCCTTTGTGAGAACATTAAACATAAGCTTTCTTTAAAAATATCTTTAAAAATATTTTTCTTTAACTTTATTTTCTATTTATAAAATTAATCTCCCTTATTTTAAAGTATCGATTCATTATCTATAATTGCTCAATCACGAATTTTGGAATTAATTGTCAACTCTGCCCGAGCGAATTTTTTCTCTTCAATGGAACCATTCCGTAATAAAATATCTTTATTAAATTCTAGTGAATTTTTTACAAATCATGGAACTTTGTGGCATTCACTTGAAGTTTTGGCACGTGCAAGAAAGGGGGAAAATTGAAATTAAAAATATTTTTGGTTAAAAAATGTGCATTTGAATGGGTAATAAAAAATTGTTATTTTTTTGTGCATAATTTTTTGAAAATAATTGTTGAGAAAGGCAGAATTTAAAAAAAATACTTTTTTCCTTTGCAGTCGACTTTAATTATACCTACAACCATCACTTAATTTAAAATATTTTTTTAATTTAGTTGGCCACGGGGTTAGAAAAAATGTCTAAGCGACGGAAACTTTCGGTTATCGAGATTTTTCGGAGTCTTGATTCTCGTACGACTCTCCCAGTTCGGTCTCTATTCTAGGTATTATCCTCAATTTAAAATATCCCTAATTACAAAGAAGACCGACCATTTCACTTTCCGGGGTATTTAACAATGAGATTGAATTGTAAATATTTTTTAATAATCTTAAGAAATTCTGCCTTTCTCAAAAAATTTGTTCCTTTGAAATTTATTCCATTATCAAACTGTCTCCTAATTTCATTTACTTTGTTGTTTTGTTTGACCCCCCCCTCAATATTTATTTCTTCATCAAATTACCCCTATTTTTTGTATTGTCCCTCCTCAGATTTTTTGATAAAAATTGAAAAAATTTTCTTATTATTTTTCCATTTATTTTTAAATTTAAATACTTTTTTTATTTTTAAAAATTTAAATTTTAGATTAATTCCATTATAGTTTTCTAAAATGGTTGTTTCCTCCACTACAAATAACACACAACAATTAGATGCTCTCCTTCGTAATTGTCTTTCCCAACGTTTAGAGCCTAATGAATTCTTTGAGGAAGCATGTCGAATGATTATAGAAGAAAATGGGCAGTTTCCGGGTTCTTTTTTTAGAAATTTAAAGAAATTTTACTCATAACTCATTATAAGGTTTGGGGGAAATTGTATAAAAGACACCTCTCTAATAAGTAAGTGTCACGTAAATAGGAAGTACTGCTCGGGAGGGTCCCTCCTCCACTCCCAACTTATGACCAACCATTTTTAAAGGTCCTTCAGGGGAAGTTTAGTATTGGATATATGTACCAGGGGTGGGCAGAGTCCCAAAAAATATGAGAACGAGATAAAACGAGATACGAGATCTATCAAAAAATACGAGATTTTCACGAGATACGAGACCTCTAAAAACACGAGATACCAGACTAAGCCCACCCCTGATATGTATATTATGGGAAAATCAACTCATTCTGAATAATTCTGTTTAAAAAATAAAATTTCAAAAAAAATTTTAAGAACGTGTTCTAAATATTGCTAATAATTACGCTTCTGCATTTCCCGAAGAAAGTGATATTTTTTCTTTGGCACTTGCTTACTTAAAAATTTTGTTTATTCATGGATTAATTCAACCACAAAAATATTTGACAATTCTTGTAATTTTGAAAATTATTTAAAAAAAAATAAAAAAAATTTTTAAAGACAACTTTTGATTGTTGGACTCATCCCATTAAAATAGAAGAAATTGCTTCTGATTTAGAATCTTATATTAATAATAAACGGTTGGAGGAAAAATTAAAATAATTTTAAATACAGTCAGACCTCACTCTTAAATACATTTCAATTTACAGTAAATACTGAAATAATTACCCTGGGTAATTATTGTTAGGGTGCTGTATCTAATTATTAGGGTGCTGTATCTAGAGTATATCTCAATTCAATTGAAGCGAAATTGACTTGTTTTTGACGGAACGGGCCTGTTGAGACCGGCCGGTTGAGCCCCGCCAGTTGAGACCGGGCGGTTGAGACCGAGGACAGTTGAGCGCGGGCCGGTTGAGACCGGGCCAGTTGAGCGCGGCCAGTTGAGCGCCCCTTGTTAACTGGCTAGTTGAGCGCCAGTATATTTTTACACTGATAAACCTCTGACAAAATGTTTACTCATGTTTGGAACACCTTGACTCATGTTCGGAACATGAGTCAAAATGAAACAACACATTCCCCCGTTCGAGAAACGGGTGAAGTTGGTCCGAATATTGGGGAAGTTGTTCTCGCTTTAGTATAGGTCCACCGAGATCGGAACTCAAACTATATACCATTCGATTCGTCTCGCCGATCTGAGTTCAAATTTGTAAGAATTTTCTGCCGGAGACGAAAATTCGCAGAGATATAGGCCCCCAAAAATCGAAAAACCATAGGGGTGAGTAAGCTCGATTTTGGGGTAAAAAATTCGTATGCGCAAATAAAAGCTCATTCGAAAGAGCTCGTCGAGCTGAGTCGAATGACAAAAAACACCGCGATCTGACTTCATAGGGTCGAGATCTGACTTCATAGGGTCGAGCTATGTTGACAACAACAACATCCCCCGTCCTTGGAACAACTTCCCCCGTCCTTGGAACAACTTCCCCCGTCCTTGGAACAACTTCCCCCGTCATTTGAACAACTTCCCCCGTCCTTGGAACAACATTCCCCGTTTCGCGCTCAACTGGCCAGTTAACAAGGGGCGCTCAACTGACTGCGCTCAACTGGCCCGATCTCAACCGGCCCGCGCTCAACTGTCCTCGGTCTCAACCGCCCGGTCTCAACTGGCGGGGCTCAACCGGCCGCGCTCAACTGACCCCAACCGGTTTTTGATATTGAGTCTTAAAATGCTCCAATAATTAAATTTGATAATTATTTTTTAAATATTTTTAAAGTTGCTTAAAATAACTAGGGGGTAATTATTTGAGAGAGGGTTTTATCATTCACGGTAACTACTTTTTATGAATTTGTTTAGTCGGAGAGGGAAAGGGGATGCACACTTTATGAATTTTCGGCTCGATTGTCTATTAAACGTTTTTGGATATCAGTATATTTCCTAGGAACTGTAAAGTTTTGCCCAATTATTATTCACTTTTCAGCTCTAACGTAGTATTTAAAAATGAAGTTTGACTCTAATTAAAAAATATTTTTTAAAATCAAAATTAAAAAAACTTTAATTTCATCAGAATTGCCGTCTATGAGGGTAATAGCCATGTTTTATTCACACAAATTACCCAAATATTGGATTGGTATATTTATTCAATAGAAAAAATTGTTGAATTAATTGTTAGATTTTAATTTAATTTAAAAAATAATTTTTTTAATTATTTTTGGTAGAATGAAAATAATTTTGATGAATTTTCTCTTATTTTTGTCAACAGAATTAAAGCTATTAAACATCTGCATGAACGACCGTTTACAGCAATTATAATTTTTACGTTTCTCAGTGAAAATTCTGGTGAGGGAAAATTAAATTTTGATTAAAAAAATTAAATTCTGATTTTATTCTGATTTTTTAAAATCAGAATTCTGATTTTATTTTCATTTCTGGTTTTTAAAATTTAATTCTGGTTTTTATTCTGATTTTTCACATCAAAATTCTGATTTTATTAAACAAAATTCTGATTCTATTCTGATTTTTTACATCAAAATTCTGATTTTATTAAACAAAATTCTGATTCTATTCTGATTTTTTACATCAAAATTCTGATTTTATTAAACAAAATTATGATTTTTATTTTGATTTTTTAAGATTTAATTCTGATTTTATTCTGATTTTTTACATCAAAATTCTGATTTTTATTAAACAAAATTCTGATTTATGATATTTCTGATATTTTAAAATTTATTCTAGCTTTATTTCAGAATTTAAAAATTTAATTCTGATTTGAAAAAAATTTAATTCTGATAGTTCTTTATTTCTGATTTTTAAAATAAAAATTCTGATTTTTCAGATAATTCCTCTATAGATAACAATATTAATAAACTTCAAATAATTTCAAATAAAATCACCAACCATTTAAATGAATTAAATGAAAAAAGAGAATCGACCTCAAAAGAAGATGAAATGGAGGTTGATGAAGAAAAAGAAGAGAAAATTAAAGGTGAAATTAAAAAATTTTTTTTTAATTTATTCCTTTCAGAACCTTCATTTTTCTCAAAGCTTTCAAATTTTTTAAAATCAATTGACCAACTTATTGAATTATTTCCTTTGTAATTTTAAAAATTTATTTTTAAAATTATTTTTTTTTGTATTTTGAGATTTTCATCTCCACCAAAATCTAATTGGCAACCTTGTAGAGAGGATTTTATTCATAGAAAATACAGACCGGCACTCCTCTCTTTAGGCTCTATTTTTGCAATTTTTAGAGTTATTAAAACTGCAGATGAGGTGAAAATTAATTAAAATTCTTATTTTTCTTTGAAGCATTAAAATTCTGTTTGATACTAATGTCTTCTGATTTCCCGGAATTTTAAGTTTCTGATTCTCCCTTTGTGTTTTTTTCCGGAAAGTTTTCAAAATTTATTTTCTCCATACATTATATTTTTGTAGTTCCGGATAAGTTTAATTTTTCTAAAAAATAAATTCTGATTTCATGCTAAAACACCCAAAATGTGTTTTGTTATCATGTGTTTTTAAAAATTCTGATTTTCAGGAAAGTTTCTGATTTCCACTAAGTATTTTTTCCAGAATTATTGTATTTTTCAAAAATATCTCGTGTTTTCCGGAGCTATTTTCAGGAAATAAACTTATTTTTCGGAGACTTAAGTTTATAATTTTTTCAAGAATTATTATATTTTCCTTGGAATATTAATTAATCATTTTATTTATTTCATTAGGTAGCCGATACATTTTTAACTGTTGGAAATATATTAGGGATGGAACATGAACAAATTGTTGAAGATTTGCTACGTGCTGTTTTTCTAATCCAGGCACTTATTTTTTTAAATATATTTTCCCTTAATTTTTATTTTCAGTTAGAAACTTCCAATATTTGTTCAGAACAACGTGAACGGGAGGCATTGGCTGATGTTTTTGTTTTTATCAAATTGCCACAGGCAAAAAATTTTTTTTTGAAAATTTTTGAAAAATTATTTAATTATTTTAGGTTCTAAAATGTTTAATTCAAAGGCTAGTTGATTAAAAAAAATTTTTTTTTTTATTTTTTTCTGAAATAATAAAAATTAATTCTCCCCCAATTTTTAAGAGGAATTCAACGCCAAACAATTTCCAAAGCTTTAGAAAATATTTGTAATTGTGATTCTTTATTAGATCAAGTAGATGATAAAAAATCTGATAATGTTTTTCGTTTCTTTTTGGATGGATTGAAAAAGGCGGATGTTGTTAATTCAAAAGAACACGAATTTTTAACTAAAAAAAGGTGAAGAAAATAAAATGAATTGGAAAAAAATAATTTTAAAGAGATTTAAAACGTTCACAAAACGAAGAATTACCTGCTGGCGAACGCCAAATGATTGTTCGTTCGGAGCTTATTTCGAGAGTGCAAAAAGCGAAGAGAGGAATTGACACGCTTGTACCGGAAAATACAGAAAGGCTTTTAAGAAGGCTTTTGTCTCTTGGTTGGTAAAACATTAGAATTTGTATTTTCCGGAACTTTTTAGAATTAATTGTTTTACGGAAAATAAAAATAATTTAAATATATTCCGGAAACTTGGGTTAGTGCGCGGCTAAGTAGGCGCAAAGCCATGACTAGCTGGCTGGTCCTTATCAATTTTGGTACCAATCTCATTAGCTCTATGAGAGAGATCGTTTAATACTAAATATGATAAGATTCGGAAAGACTGAAGCAGGTTATGAAGCAGGCTCCTAGTTGGGCTGTACCCCCGTAAGCCTATTAGAATTTAATTATAAATTTCCGTGATACTCATAATTTTTATTTTTCATTAGATTTTTTCCGGAAGATACAGAATTGCTTCCGGAAAATACACAAATTAGCATTTAACTATTTTCATAAACACAAATTTGTATTTTATATTCATTCTAACAAAATCTAAGGTGAAATTCCCATTGATATGCTCTGTTCGATTTATTGTGCATGTGGAGAGTTGTCTCTATTCTCTTCAAAATTAGCAGCATTAAATGCCCAGGCTCAACAACCTATTACTGGGGAGAATGTTAGCGGGGCAACAACTAATGCCCAAGGGAGATTGTTAATTTTTGATTCTACATTTTTATTAATGGCACGTATACAACATGTATTTGCTGATATGGTACTAATTGAAGAATTCTGAGATAATTAAATTAATTTTCGTTAGCGTTTGGAAGAATTAGTTGGTGGACGTTTACACTGCGCATTTTATCGTTGGACACAACGTTATCAGAAATGTATTGAGGAAAGTGAATCGATGTGTTTTGTTTTATCTTCACAGACAGGAGGGTCTTCAAATGAAGATTCTACAGATTCCTCTGTATTTTTGGAAAAATTTATTTTATTTTTTTTTAATTTTCAAGTTCCGTTCAAATTTTCAACGTAACCAATTCCAAGCAATGCGTTCACAAAAACAACCTTTTTGGTTAGCGGAAAATAATGATTTTGGCAATACAATAGAAACTGTCCCTTTAATTGGGGAACTTTTATTGGAAGAGGTGAAAAATGATTTTTGTGTGATAATTTTTATGTGACCTTCCTGTTTCAGTCTTTAGCATTAACTCCCCTCCAATGGATAACACAAATGCAGAAATTTCCCAAAAATTCCTGACAATCGGGAATTCCTAACGTTCTTAGAGCCGTGATCCCTGTTATTTTTCAGACGAATACTTTTCAAGATTGGCTAGAGGCATAATAATTCACTCCAAGACAAAAGTATCAAGAAAATTTTTCCCCGTGGCTTAATAGATATTCTAGCTTAACAGATATTTTAATAAAATAAGTTTTGAAAATTTTTTAAAATAACAGTTTTCACGTGGTTCTCCAAACTCAAATGAAATAAATAACATATTTTGGACATTCAGTCAAATGAGTTGTTTGTGGCTTTGTCTTGTTCAATGGTTGGATGCACAACAACCAACTATTGGAAATACACCTCGACAAGCAATGGCTAGATCAATGAGAGAATTTGAAGTTAAACTTCAACAGCAAAAAACGGCTTCTGAAAAGGACAATAAGGATAATGGAGAACGGTGAATAATTATAGTTGATATTTATTCTTTCAACCTTTTTTTTTAAAATGGTTGAGGGGGTAGGGGTTAATTAATTGAGGGAGATGAGGCATTTGACTGAAGGAAGAGTTGTTTTTTGGAGCTGTTTTTTTTGGAGCTAATACATTGAAAATTCAATTTTTATTCACTCATAAAAGCCTCGAGAACTTTTTCTGGCTCTCTTATCTGACTACCGACCAGGAATCTTCCCATTTCGGGAATTGCCCTTCCTCTGGCAGACTTTATCCTCAAAAATACCAAGTGTTTTTTGTTGATCTTCCTTCGTAGCATTTTACCTCTCTCCTACGTTAACTAAAATTTTTTACTTTTAATCATTTTTCAAGCCTTCAAAGTCTAAGCTATTCAATTTTAATTGCTCGCCGTCTTCTTCGTCAAATAGTTGATCAAAGAATTAAAAAAGAACACCCATATACTTGGCTGGTTGGATTTGCTCAACGTCCATTGCCTGCATTACCTTTTGGGAGAAAAATGAGTCTTTTAAGGGCAAGCCCTGAGGAAATTAACGAAGAAAATCAGAGATTGAAGGAGGCAAATAATTATTAAAAAAAATTCATTATGGAATTTTTCTAGGTTTTCCTCTGCGCAAATCAACAGAGTTGGGCAACGCCTGATGCTATTGCACATATCAACCGTTGCAATGAATCCTGTACCTTTTTATACTTCATTATTTTCTTTATATCGAGGGTCGAGAATTTTTTGGTTCGATTCCTGAAATCCCAAAATTTTCCAGGATCTACAACCCTACTTATACCAAACAAAATCCACTTTAAATTCACTCCTGTTGGGCAGAATCGCCTTAAGTTATAGACTAACAATAATTGCCTTTATAACATCCATTATTATTTCTTGATAATGAACTCACTGTGGCAGTTAGCTAGGTACCCTTATATCCGTTGTGCCTATAACTGAGGCCCCTATAACAGGGCATGCTATATATTTTAATGATTCTAGACCAATTAATTTAGTATATTTTATCAGGCTTTATTCAAAAAATATTAGGTCGAATGGACATTTGGTTACAATGTTGGATGCGGCAAATGATGAACCAACAAAGAATTGTAACTGTTGATGAAAGTGAATTAGCCTCTGAATTGTGTTTAGCGGCAACAATAACCTATCCAGTCCCGTGTTTGTGTGAAATGATTAAACAGGTGGAAAATAGAGACGAAATTAATTTTGAATGTTTTATTTGTTTCCCCTTCAAGTTAGTGGAATGTATTTTGTTTGAACGCGCAACAACATCTACCTCTTCAACAACAATAGCATTACAACCAAATATCCATTCCGCCTTTGTCCCAAACATTGTTTCCGCTGTCTCTTCAACTATTAATTCAAACGAACATTCTTTGGAAGAACAAAAACATTCAACAACAAATCAACAAAAACAACAAACAAACATTCCAACACAACAAAAACATTCTTTATCTGCACTAGAACAACAACAAAAACATTCATTGCAACAGCAACCGGTAATGTTTTTAAAGAAAGATTTGTTTCTTCTTTGTTTTGTTAAAATCTTTCTTTAAAAACAAATGTTTTTCCCTTGTATTTTATGGGAAAAACATAAAAACAAATGTTTTTCCGAATGTTTTATGGGAAAAACATAAACAAATGTTTTTCCCTTGTATTTTATGGGAAAAACACAAAAACAAATGTTTTTCCCTTGTGTTTTATGGGAAAAACACAAAATGTTTTTCCCTTGTATTTTACGGGAAAACACAAAAACAAATGTTTTTCCCTCGTGTTTTATGTGAAAACACAAAAACAAATGTTTTTCCCAGAGTTCATTATGTTTATGCGGAAATAATAAACATTTTTCGCTTACAGGTTAAAAGACACCCAGTTGTTGGTCAATTATCTACAAAGGCTACAGTTATTGCCAAAATGCTTGTGCGAGCAATGCAATTGTTATTATGGGCTGGAGATAGACGAGTAAAATTGATAAAAAAAATTTTTAATTTTAAAAATTGTTCTAAAATTGTAAAGGTTTTGGAAAAAAGGGAAAGGGAAAAACGTATTCAACAATTTGGGCTTATTACACAACAACAACAACCTTCAGAACAATCTTCATCTTCTAGAAAACGATCCCAAATAGAAATAAATGAAAGTGGTATTTTAAAGATTTTAAAATTAGGAAAAAATTTTTTCTCAAGAGGAAGGACAACAACAAATGGACCAGACACCCTGTAGTTCCTCTTCAAATGAGCAACTACAGAATGAAGCTTTAGGAATTCAGAAGAAAAAAGTAATTAAAGGAGATTTAAATTAAAAATATTTACTTTTGGATTTTTTTAAAATTTTTTTTGGAGTTTAAAAGAGGGACAAGCATTTTTAATTCCAATCTACAACAGATCCATAATTTAAACGTAAAAAGTTGTAGAAAGTAGATCTGGTTAAACGAGCTGCTGTGAATCATGCCAAAATTGTTTAGATCAAACTTTAACTATTTTAGTTATAAATTATGCGGTAGAAGGGGGACATGTAGTGGATTGAATGGGTGGTATATACGAGGGGTGGAGAATTTTCAGTTTTAAGCGGAATAAAATTAAAAAGCAGAAGGCGGAGGCGGAGGCGGAAGACCCAAAAAAGGCGGAATTCTGCGGAACGCGGAGGCGGACCCATAATTATTTTAAATTATAAAAAATATTTTATTTTAAAAAGAGTGTTGATGTATCTTCTTCTGTTGTTGAAACTTGTACTTCTTCAATGAATGAAACAACAACAACATCGCGTTTGCCTAAAGATGCGTTAAAGGCACAATTAACTGTTAGCAATGTTTTTGAGGTAGTTATTTTGTTTATTAAACAAAAGAAAATTTATTTTTTTTAATTTTAAGGCTTTATTTAAAAAATAATTTATTTTTATTCAATAATTAAATATTTAGGGGGGTTATTATTTCCCTTAATTCTCTAAAAAATATTATTTTTATCCTTATTTTTTTTTAATTTAATTTTTTTATAAAGCGTTTTGAACGAATTGTTCGTGATTGTAACCTCCGCCCACCTGTTACTTTTATTATTTTCTTCATTCACGAATTGGCAGCGGCACCTCAAACAGAATATTGGCGACGTCTTGTTTCTATAATGCCTGTCAATTTAGTGGGGATTTTTATTTATTTAAATATTAATTAAAGAAATGTTTTTCTAAAGAATTTAATTACTTTCGAATTCTTTAATTGCTTTTGAAATATTCCAATTTTAAAAATATTCCAAATTAAAATTTTTTTAATTAAAAATGCTCTTCTTAAACCGAGGGTTCCACCACCGACCACTGGGACAGTGGTTAACCGGGGGCGGTGGGAGGCAGAGAGCAATAGTGAGCATAGAATAGCCATAGCCCCAGAGTTCTCGTCACCGAGGCAAAAACCACCGCAACCACCGTCCCCGTGAAAAGAGCACCTGATCGTAAATTTGGAACCCTACTTAAAACTATTCCGATTTTTCTAAAATTATTTCTGATTTTTAAGGTTCTGGTATGAGATTTCAATTTAAAATTCAGATTCTTTATTGAAAATCCGATTAAAATTTTAATTTTTCAAATTTTTAAACAGATTTTTGGATTGTCTCATCTAGATCCTCATGCAATTCCTCTCGATCTTTTTATGCGTTTGTATGATCCAAAGGATGAAAAAAACCGAAAACTTTGTTTACATTTTGCTTTTATGATTAAAAAACTTGGAAATATTTAAATAATTTTTTAAATTTAATAATTCTGATTTCTCTTGTATTTTTTGCTTCTGATTTTTTTTTATTTGTTTTATAATTTTTATTTTCATTTTTGTATTCTGATGTTTTCAAATATTTTCTACTTTTGTTATTTTTATTTAATACTTTTTCCAAAATATTTTTTAATAAAATATTTGGCTGTAGTGTAGTGTACCGGTGGTAAAAGTTCTGGATGTAACATATGTCATTCGATTCGTCTTGACGAGCTGAGTCGAATGGTACCACTCCCTACTTTAGGAAATAATTCTGGACCGAGTTATAGGTCCCGAAAAATTGAAAAACCAAAGGGGGGAGTAAGCTCGATTTTGGGGTGAAAAATTCGAATATGCAAATAATAGCTCATTCGAAAGAGCTCGTCGAGCTGAGTCGAATGACACCAAAATCAACGAAATCTGACTTGATTTGACAAAGTTATGAGCAGTAGTTACCCTCCAATAACCGTATCAAAGGGAAATGCCGCCAACCTATTGAAGGGTCTGGTTGGGGGAGGGGTCCGCCCCCATAAACGCCAGCCTATTGGTGCGCGAAGGGGGAGGGTGTAAGGGGAAAACCTAGTCCTAAAGGGATGTTTTAGAGTAATTAGGGGGAGGGTGTAAGGGAAAACGATTTGTTTGACTAATTGATCGGGGTTGGGTGTAAGGGGAGTGCTAATTGGTCTTATTGGTTTGGGGAGGGGTTAAGGCAAAACAATTTGTATTTACTAATTGGTCAGAGGGTATAGTGTAAGTGGATTTAAATGTGTTAATTAGTTGACTAATTAGCTGTGGGAGGGGGTAAGGAAATTTTTAAATTTTTTAATAAAAAATAATTTAAATAATTCTATGTATAAGTAGAAGAAGAGAAAAAGGGAGAAGTAAAGTACTCTGAGAAAAACGCTTGGCGTCTTTTCTCAGACTTACTTACTTCTCCCTACTTTACTTCTCCCCTTCGATTGAAAAATTTTACTTCTCCCTTCGATTGATTGCATAAATAATAATATGAAATTTTTTTATCATCATTTTTATTAAATTTTTCAGATTTTTTTAATTCTAGGAAACAAAATAACAATTAACGTTCAAAGCAGAAATTAAAAATGTTAACAATTCTGATATTGCTAGCTATGCTTAATGTTGTAAAGAAGTGCAATGCTAATCGTGAGAAGATTAAACGTAAAGATCCGGGTCGAATTCCTGTTATTCTTGAGAAGGTTTTTTATAGTTTTTTAAAATATTCTACAATCTTATTAAGGCACCAAAGTCTCGCTTACATGATTTGGATAAGAAAAAGTATTTAGTTCCTTCTGAGCTTACTGTTGGACAATTTTACTTCTTTATAAAAAAAAGGTATGTTCTACTGTTTCATGTGCTATTTGGGTTATTTAGAAATTTTGTCCTAATCGTAGCTTGTTATCCCTGATTTTAATCATCTATTTATATGAATGAATATAATTACATTATTTTACAAATCAGTTATAATTTTTTAGAATTAATTTAAATCATTTAAAGGATTCATCTTCGTTCGGAAGGGGCGCTCTTCTTCTTTGTTAACACTCTTATACCGCAGACAATGTCCACCATGGGACAACTTTATCAGGTTTTGCAATTCATAAAAAATTTTTAAAAAATTATTTTAAAAATCTTCGATTTTTTCGCTTATTAAAGTTTCGATAATTTTAGGATCATCACAAGGAGGATTTCTTCCTCTACATAGCCTATAGTGATGAAAACGTTTATGGGGCTGATGATCCTAGTTTATTAGTTGAGTCTGACGAGGAAAGTAAGTTTATTATTTGTATCAATTAAATTCTAAAATATAGTTGAAATTGAATCATCACCCGTTAAAAAATTTAAAAAAGTAACCTTTTTTGGTTTTGAAGAGGAGGAGGAAGAAGAAGAAAATTTTGAAGGGTTTGCAAATGGCGGTTTTCATTCTAAAGGTTTAAAATTTTTTTAAAACTCCCAATTAGTAATTAACTAAAATTAGGTACAAATTCAACAACTCAGCCACACCATTATCATCAGATTCACAGCGAAATGGAAGCTCTACGTAATTCTGATGGTTTATTTTTTATTTATAAAATTCTGAAATATATTTTTAATTTATAGAAGGAAATTCGACAGCGACTGGACACTTGATCTACAATTGTGGTGGTACTGCGTGTGAAACAAATTCACAATCTAACATTGATCAACAGGTTTTATAAAAAATTATTTTAATTCTAAGGGTTTCTAATTTTGATTGTTATTTTTATTAAAAATTCCAAATAAAAATAAATCATTATTTAGGGTTATAAATAGTTTTTTAAACAATTTTTGTTCATTATTTAATTTATTTTAAAAGTTTTTTATAATTTTTATATTTTGTAAACAATATAATTAAGATTGTTGAGGGCATAGAGCATTCAAGTCTGGTGCCGAACATTTTGCCAAACACCGTAACTGATGGTTAAACTAATTCTTGTTTTATATTTTATTTATAATTTATAATTATAGTTCTGCTGGGACTAATGGGACCAGCTAAAAAAATTTCTAAAACCGTGCCAGGTTAATTTTCTAACGTTTGTAGTTTTATTATATTTTTAGAAGTCGACCTAGAAATTAAGAAGAGAAAGGTTGGTAAGCCACCAGGAAAAAGAACACCCAAACCCGGTGAAATTTATTATTGATTTTGAAAATTATATCTTTATTTATTCAGTCTCAAAAAATATGCCTAGAACTGTTAAGGCTTCCTCTTCTTCTTTGGACAATGGTGGAGTTGTTGGTTCATCAATTGGTTAATTTCTTCTATCTACTTATATCTAGAAAATTTATTATTATTTAGCCTTAAATTCTAATTCTTCATCTTCATCATCTTCTTCCTTAGGTAATGGTGGGATTGTTGGTGCTTCTGTTTCTTCAACATCGGGTAAATTTCTTCTATATAATTATATCTAGAAATATTATTTTATATTTGAAAAACTAAATATTTCTGTAAACTCGCAACATAGTTCTAATTCTAATTTAAATATTTGTATTCTAATTGTTTATAATTTTTTAGAATTTTTATTACTAAAAATAATTAAGTATAATTCAAATAATTAAAAAATTTGAAGGGTTTGCAAATGGCGGATTTCGAAACGGTATCATTATATATTTTTTAGTTGGAAAACTAAATATTTCTGTAAACCCGCTACACAGTTCTAATTCTAATAAAATATTTGTAAAACGCATAATAGATAATAAATCTCTAAAATTAGAAACAAATCCTGCTACGACCGGTCATTTAATTTACAAATGTGGTGGAGTTGATAAGAGAACGGTTAAAAAAAATAAAATAAATAATTCTCATGAAGAGGAAGAAGAAGAAGAAAATTCTGATGGGACTACTTCTAACGGAGGATTTGGTGATGGTATTTAAAATTCAAAATAAAATTAAATAGTAAATATCCCTCCATTTAAGATACTTTCTTTAAAGATTGGTTGATCAATTTTTAAAGATCTGTCTAAATTATACCCTCTATTTAAGATACACCTCATTATAAGTCTTTTTATTGAAGGTAAATGTTTTGCTAAAAAAATCTGCGCAAACACGCGTTTTTCAACGATTGTGTCGAGCGGATTCAGACAGTGCAAGCACGCGCCAATGGCGATAGTGTAGAACTGTTTGTCTTTTTAGTTAAATATTTTACTGTTCAGTAATTAAAATTATTCTAATGATCTAGTTTTGTAAGGTTTAGACAGATCTTTATAAATGGTTGACCAATAAAAGTATCAGTCTGAATTATCCATTAAGTCTGAGCGGTCTTCAAATATCCAGATTCTATTCTTCATAGTTATTAAAAAATTTTTAAAATAAAATTTTTCAGACTCATCATCACATAAGTATCAATTACGAAAAAGAAGTAATTTAATTTATACCTTAAAATAAATAATAATAATATATTAAAGAATGTCCGCAAGTTTTGTCCGCAAATCCGAAATCAGTTCCAAAGTGTCGATGTCTGGATCATCAAAAGATTAAATGTCCTCAATTATTAAATAAGTTTGCTGAAAGAAATTTGGCTGGGGTAATTCTTTAAATTTAATCTTTAAATTTAAATTTTTAATTCTTTAAATTTATATTGGGGTATGTATAGACAAGTCCCAATTTTCATAAGTACTGAAAACTAATTTATGGTTTAATTTTAACAGGAGTTGGTACTGCCGGACTCCGTCCAAAATAATCAACCTTTTTGGACAATTAAGAAAATTTTGGATCAGGAATTAGACGAGGAAGGCAATATTTCCAAAATACTTGTTCAGTGGGCCGGCTTCACGGAGGCTGAAGCGGTCTGGGAACCGTTTTCTATTATGAAGGATTGTCTTCATATGGTTTATGAATTAGGGGTTGACGACGGCATAGTGGATGCCTTAGGTCATTTGTCAGGTAAACTTCAGAACGAAAGGGTCCAGAAATTTCTGGATAAATTCGCTTCTGTCAACCCTACAGTAGATATAAATTTAGTCTTCCCATTTCGTTCCGCCTTAGGAAACAAAAATGTAGATGATTTAAGTAGAAAGGAGAAGCAAAATATGAGGCGAAAACTTTTAAAAATGAATAAAAGTGCAAAAAAAAGGGGGCTTAATGTTCCCTCAACATCATCCTCATGATTTTGAGGTAACATTAAGTCCATGCTTTTCATTGTTTTGAGGTATAAGTATTTGCTAATATTAAGTAATATTGCACTTTGATTCATTTTTAAGAAATTTCGTCTCATCTTTTGTTTCTCTTTTTTATTTATCTTCGAGTTGTTTCGAAACAAAAAAATCTTTTAAAATTTGGAAACAAAATTTCAAAAAGTTGAAATCGAAGATTGAAGAATAACTTTTAGCTATTAATACTGTTTCGAAATAAAAAAATCTTTTAAAATTTGAAAACTAAAAATTCCAAAAACATTGAAATCCAAGATTAAAGAATAATTTTTATTTTATCTTCGAGTTGTTTCGAAACAAAAAATCTTTGAGGATTGGAAATCATAAATACTTAAAATTATTGAAACCGTATATGCTCGAATAATTACTTTGTCAAATTAAATTCAATTTTCAAAACTTAGTTTCTCTATCCATTTTAATCATATTATATTATTTGAAAAAATTAAACTTTGGTATTTAAATTCAATTTTAGTCCAAATTCTATTAAAATTAATTTGATTTTATAAATATTGTTATATTGCAATTATTATAACTAAAAAAAGGAAATAATACAATTTGGACAAAATTTTTAAAAATTGTTCTTTGGTTTTCAATCTATTGTTTTTTGGACAATTATTGCTATTATAATTTTTGTATTTCAATTATTTTTTCAATAAAAATTTTTTAGTTTTTATTTATCAAATATTATACTTATAAATATTGGAATATTATGAACACTAGATACTAAGAACTTAGAGTAAGTAAAAGAAAGTTAGAAAAAAGTACATTTAAAATTTATTTTTATTATTAAATTTAACAAAAATTTTAAAATAATTTTTCATAATTATTTTAAAAATTACTTTTTTCCCTTTCTTCCTCATTCCTCTTCACTGCTCGTATCGTCATTCATTTCCTCATCAACAGGATTCTCAGCCTGTTGCTGTTGTTGTTGAGGAGGATCCACCTCCATATGCTGATGCTGAAGTATCAGCTCTTCATCAACTGGCGGAAACACCCGGTTAAAATTTCCAATTGCGGTCTTAAAAAAATATAAAATTTTTTAAAATTCAAAATAGCTACCTGTACCGCCCAATGTTCGAGCATTTCAACTCGAAACAGGAGGTGCCGGGACATTTCCCTCAGAACGTGTATCCGCTGGCGCTGGCCAGCTATCACCAGGTGTTGTGCCTCCACCTGGGCACGCAACTCCTCTTTCTCATCTTTCAAATTATCAACTTTTAGACTGAGTCTATCCATTAATCTGGCTAGACCCAAATCTAAATCCATATTATTATTGTTGTTGTTGTTGTTCGCCATTTCCTTTTTTATTGTTGCTAATAAATCTGAATTAAATTTTTAAAAATTAAAGAAAAATACATTTAAAAATATAAATTATACTTAAAAATATTTAAATAAAAAATTTAAATTGTAACATTATTTGAATGAATTACACATGATCTTTACATCCTTTTTTCCTTCCAATCCCGCAAAGGTCATAGTGGAATATTAAAAATAACGCCAGCTGTTTGTATGAAAGAGAAAGGCACGCAATAGAAAAGCGGCATCTTTTGTAGAGATCAAAAGAACTAGTGGACTGTTTATTATTATTATTATATTTTATAACTTTGTACAATAATTAAGAATAAATAAAGAGGGACTAAATAATTTAAAAACTAACTTTAAAAAATAAAAACTAAATAATTTTAAATAATTTTATCTCAATTTTATTTAACATAATTGGTATTATTAATTTTTAATAAAATTAAATTTTTAATTTATTTAACATTTTTAATTTTCTTTATCAGTTTTAATTGTCTTCTATTTTCGTTCTGGCACAATTTGATCTATAAAATTTTTTATAATTTAAACAATTCAAAATTAATTACCTGAACAGCCCTGTGATGGTGTTAATTGTTGTTGTGGTACAATCTGGTCACCATTTCCTATTTAAAAATTTATTAAAAACAAAATTTTCATTCTAACCATTTTCTTGTGGCGGTACATTTTGTTGTTGTTGTTGTTCTTGATTAAGTACTCTCGCTCTTATTCGAGCGGTTACAGCCGCTATTCTTGGCCCCAAGGGAAATAAAGGGTGGGGGAAATCGTGCTTTAAATAATAAGTTCATTAAGTAAAATTCAAAGATTCAAACTTCCTCTTCAGCCCAATTTTCTATTTGTCGAAGACGTAAATACAATATCCCCACATCTCGTGTAGTTGCGACAACATCAGTAGAAAGATCTTGAATTTCGCTCATTTCAAAATACTAAAACTTGATATAAAATGAATAAAATAAGAAAAATAATAATTTAAGGTGAATAAAAAAGAAAATCAACTCGCTCAATAATTAATTTACATTATATCTTACTTACCTTTTGACCGTTCCCAAGGTCATTTGTTTCTAATTATACGTGCGAGAAAGTAAAGGGACCATCTTATAAAATCTTTAATTAAATAAAAATACAAATTATAAACTTGTAACATTATTATTTGAGGGTGATTGGAGGGGTATATAAACCCAGTTTTTTAAAAAAATTCATTCATTAATCTTTCAAAATGCGTCATTTAATTGATGAATGCGCAGAAATTCTTAATTGCCACCCAAAATCTCTTCGTGACCACTTAAATCACCCGGCAAAGCGTGCACTTCTTCATTCAAAACTCAAAGGAAGGATTGTCCGAACGCTCTATTCAGATCGTAACGACTTCCGTAAGACCTTCACATTTCATGGATTTACCCATAAAGGTTCCTAATCATTACACATCAACATTAATTTTAAATAAAGGAGCACATACATTAATGGCTTACGGGGCACTCTCTCGTCCTTACAATGTTTCAGTCACGGCACATTACTATTCTCGACATAGAATTCGCTTACGTTATCCTTATCTCCAATGTGTGGTTGAGAAATTTCCTCGACGTTGCGAGGATCGTTACTACCCACTTGAACTACTTGAGTTGGTCGATGATAAAGAAGAGGATTATATTGGGTTTCCAATTGTAAACAATGACAAACCACTTTATGTTGATGTCTCCGAAAAACTTCGAATTAACAAAGCAAATTCTGATTCAGACAAGAATGACGAGCCATTAGAATTTGATATGCTCGATGAGATGGAAGGTTGGTAAGGTGAGCACATGGATATAATTTTTAATTTTTATGATTTTTTTGAATTTCAACTTCGTTTAACTAATTCTGCACTTTTACCCCTTATAATGACCACTTCTATTTGTTAATTTTGAAATAAGTTTTTTAAAAATTAATTTTATTTTCTATACACTAATTATACAATTTTCCCCCTAAAATATAATACTTCTCTTCTATAATTTTAATATATTGTTTTCTTTTCCTAAATTCTGCAATTTTACCCTTAAAATCAATCACTTCTCAACACTAATTTTGCACAATAAATTTTATTAAAGTAAAAATAATAACTAAAAATATATAAGTTAGAGAAAATAGATACAATAATTAATTAGAAGTAAAACCATAATCAAGAACAGAGAAGTCGCTCGGGCGTAAAACACCCTTGCCGACAAAAGGTTTGTACAATTTTTTCAAAGGTTGAGTAATTACAGAACCTCTTTTTACAGTAGGTCTGAGAAAATTGGGATATACAATATTTATAGGGGAGCATTCATCATTAGCAAAATTTAAAACTTTAGATTTAAAATTTTCATACTGCATTCCTTGATTTGTGACAACATCCCAGTTCAATGTAATTCCGCGAATTTTAAGCACATATTCAGGTGATGCATTCATTTGATCTTTCCGTTGTAGTTTAAGTCCATATTGTTTAGCTCCGCCCGAACAATACTCGAGAATATCGTGTCTCGGGTACTCATCGGTAAATTGACCGAGATGAGGCCCAAGTTGGAGCGGGCAAGATTCATTTGGGTGGGCGAAAATTAATGAATCCGTATCTAAAATAATTAAGTATTAATTAAATTTCATTTCGAATTTTACCTGTATACAACGATGTACATCCCGGCGAACGCACAACATGTTGCATAGCTCTCAACAAATATATACGCGCAGCGGATGTAGTCCACAAAGAGATTACTAAAATTTTTATTTCAAATTTAATAATTAAATTTATGTACTTACCAACATTGGAGCAGTCATGCTCCTCAATCCAATCCTTCTTTGTCAAGTGGCTGATGAGCACAACCTCCGGAGTCAGCTCATCTAATCCAGTTACCTCCTTGCTCGAATCATCCATTAAACTGCGAACTTTCACGGGATCATCTGTCACCGTACACTGAGAAAGTCCAAAATTTCTCAGTGAAAATCTGCCCCCTAAACTTAAAATTATTATTTATTTCATATAATTTAACTTACAAAGGTTGTTAAGACAAAGTTTTGCCTGGGTCCGTTTTCCCTTGTTTGGTACCTAAAATATTAAAATTAAATAATTAAATTTAAAATTTCACCATTTTTTCTCGTTCGATCTTAATATCGAACATTTCCGTGCACTCCTTAATAAACTTGTCCTCTGCCTCAATATTGCCTTTAATTGAGTCATCGAACCCAGAAGAATGGATCTTCTGGGCCATAAACTCGGCAATATAGGATCGAAAAAGCCCCTCATCCGACGAAGTGTATTCAAGGACTCGGAACAATTTTGTGACGATGTAGCCCTAAAATAATGATCAAATTAATAATAATATTTAAAAAAAACCTCATCAAGTGCCGTGTTGAGTTCCAAAGAGGTACAGGTACTCACCCATCCTCGTTGTTCGTCACTATGTTGGCAGTTGTAGTTCTCCTCGACTTTCCCCTTCGGATAGAGTCGAGCACAAGATGCGCACAATGGGAACAGTAGACGATCATCGAGTTTGACAGGTAGGACGGGCACATCTATTTTGCGCGGAGGGATTACAAATACCTAAAACTTTAATATTTTTCAAATAAATAAAAATACCTTCAAGATGGACAAATCATATTTGTTGTCAGTGGAACAAGTCCACGAGACATCTTCATTCAGTATATGGACAGTGGGGTGTCCAACAGGGTACTTTGTTGAAACATTTATAAACGGGTACAATGAAGTTACATCAAAGTAGCTAATACGTTCACCAGTTTTTGGTTTGTAGAAAAGCCGAAGGGGACCGGTTCTTCCACCAAAGAAGCTATTTCTAATTTCCACTGGTCCATTATCAATATAAGATTCAAATTTGCGCCGCATCTCCCTGTCTTTTTTCAACATATTTTCAATCTCACACTCCCAGTATACTTCTAGTTGTCGAATTTGGGATTTGATGAAATTAAGCCTCTGTTGATCTAATTCACGTTGTTTGCCTGCTGTTTTACCATTGGGTAAAACAATGTTGTCGTCGGGGTAGCATTTAGAGCAGCCATGCCAACAACAACCGTTGACTTCAATTCCAAGCTGCTTATCTTCCACCCAACCGTCCAGATGGTAATTGCCAACTCTAAAAATAATTTGTAAAATAAAGTATAATTTATTTACCTTTTTTCTCCGCCTGCTGAGATAGCAGTCTGGACTTTAACATTATTTGCTTCCTCATACCATTCAAGAAATTTCAAAGCCATTTTGCTTTGGTTCTCAATGTTGTCGTACCCACGCTCTGGCACAATTCCAACATGATCAGCCTTGAGATGGTTTGTTCGAAAGTGTTTCATGCACGCCGAGGCGATTGTCATGGCTTCACGAAGCACGTCAATCCCCTCATGTGCCTTATCTGATGCCGGTCTTTGTCCAGCCTCACGTTTCGAAACCTGAAAATAAAATAATTAATAATCTAAAATAATTTACCTCTATAAATTCATTGCGGAACGCAATGAGAGCAGCCATCAAAATCTCTACGTCGTTTGTACAATAAGACGCAAGGGCCTCCTCCAGATTGAAAGGTTCATGGCAATGTTGTTGATGCCATTCGTCAAACAACTTCCTTTTTTCCGGCATCATCCCATCAGCAAGATATTCTGATGGGGTTGGGAAAATATCTTTTCCATAGTTCTCCGGGTGGTTGGCCAAGTGGGGAAAGAAGGGTTTGTCCTCCACCTGAAGAGCAAATGCCGGAACAAGAGCTGCAAGAGACATAGGCATCAAATTGAATGAATCACGAAAAATGATGCTTCCTTTGTTCTTTCCACGTGAGATGAGCTTCATCTCATACATTTTATTACCCTTTTTTAGCATCTCGGGAGTAAATCCTAAAAAATTTTTTCATTTTCTTTCAATAAATTAAGTTTACCTCTCAAAAAAAGTTCTTTAAAGACAAGTACCATATCGAAACGTCCACCAAAATGAGAGAAGGCAATGGTATCAAATTCTTGCGGAAGTTCATCGAGGAGCCAAACAATGAAAGCTTCTAGAGGATTTGGAGTTACAACCATTTTGTCTACAGTTGTTCTCGTAAAGGCTTTATGGGAGAAGGTAACAATCCTTTTATTTCCACAGACTTTACATTCCTCCTCCTCCTAAAAATTTTATAATTATATTAAATTAAACTTTAAAAATTTACTTTCAAAATACATTCAGGACACGTGACTTTGGCGCAGATGAAGTTAGGCTCATGCTTTTTTCCATTACCAGAAGGTTGATGCTGCATTGTTTCTAGGTCGAAAGCGACAATGCGATATTTTTTGTTGTCTTTAGATTCTAATGGTCTGATGAAGCATCCTCTCTTTGGAATGTGAAAATCATTGCAAGTTGAGCAATGACGTTCCCCACAGACATGACCTTTACGTCCTCGCTTGGTGTTGTCTTTTACATTCCAGATCACACCACACTTCTCACATTGTTTTGATTTTTTGCAAAAGCCAGATTGAAGATGATGCTGATAACAGTTGTTATTATGAAAAATTTTGCTGCATAAAGCACAAAGTTTATTAAATCCGTCGATTATGCTGCAGGGGAAATTAGGTCCTACCCTTGAGCATTTGTTGCACCGGGACTTGCAGCTAATTGAATGATTAGCCGGTTTATCATATACTTTTTCGCAAGACAAACAGTAACACTTTCCAAATATTCCTGAAGCACTCTTTACACCATCAAAGTGCTTGTTGTCGTAGTAAAGGATGATCGGAATATCAAAGTCATTAGCACCATATTTGAAGATGGGTGTGTAATGACCGAGGGAACCGAACACAAAAACTTTGAACTTGTGTTGCCCTTTATACTTGTTGTTCCAATAGTCAACTACAATAGGAACCCATTCCTCAGCATTATAATCTTGTTGTAAATCTGGTGCTCCAATTATTTCCATCAATTCCATTGTGTCTTCTTTAAATCGGTTTGCCATTCCATGCTCACTTCGCAAATATCGGGAAAATTTGACCCTAGACCATTTACAGATGCCATGTATCAGAGTTGCAGTTAGAGCGTAGAAAAGACAGAAACTGTCTTGGTTGCGAATCTAAAATAAAATAAATCAATAACGTTGTGTTTTTCCCTAACCTAATATTTCATTTCCCACTTTAATTTTCCCACTTTGCTTTTATCAATCTAAAGATTTTTATATTAGAAATTTAATTTAAGTTTTAAATCTTATAAATCTTTAAAAACTTGGTAAACTGGCCTTAATCAATGATTGATCATTGATCCGGTGATGAACAGGTTGAATATTTCGACCAGATCCAGGAATTTGTCGTTGTTTCGGCAGTCCGCTTTTGTTAACAGTCGTAACTGTAACAGTAAACGGCTGCCCCCAGAGGGTGACGTTTTTCTGTCGAAAGCTTTGAGCCACAAGAAGAAATCGGTTGAGGATTGCCTCAACCATATTTTCATTCAAATCTCTGAAAAATCGCAATTTTATTATAAATATTTTTGTTAAATCTAAACCAACCTTACTGGTACCCATATATCATTATCTAATAAAGGACTGCTTACAACGCATCCTAACTGTTCCGGCTCTATACCACGTTTCCGACTTTCATCCAAAGCTTCATCAATTAAATGTTGAAAAATTCCTAAAATAAAATCAATTTAATTTATTAAAAAATTTACCTTTTAGTAATTCTTCCGGATCCTCGGGCAATTGCTTTATTGAAAATTTGGATTGTGATTTAACAAAATTAAATTTAGCGTTGTGAGATAAATCATTTTCTAGACGTTCAACATATTCTTTAGGCTTTTTCGCACCACTTCCTGATTGAAAAA